TAATACCCATTCTCTGAAGTGGAAAAGGGGAGTGAAGGGGGGAGGTAATTATAAATAATACCTTTTTTTCTTTCCACCGCTGGTGTGGAAAGAAAATAATAAAAAATTCTGGAGTCATATTTTTACTTCTGAGTTTTTTTACCCGGGGTATATCTAGATTTAAGTCAAATCAGGAGTGTAGTTTTGAAGAAAATTTCCACATGTGGTTAAATACACCATGGGAAAGGTGTCTCTCCTGTGCTTCTCACTTGCAGCCTCCAAAACGTGAGGGGCCGGTGAATTCCAACCCTGAAGTATGAAAGCGTGAGGCAAACTCATGCTCAGTTAGGGAAAAAAAAAAGGCAGTTTTATTGGGATTATTAAAATATCTGAACCCGCCATCAGCCTTCCCAGTCCCAAACACATTTCATTCATTTCGGTATCGAGCTCCCGGCTCCCAGGGCCGTGTCCAGCAGCTGAGAACACCCTTTTTGTTGGCAGGAGAAGCAGTTCCAGGTGTCCCAGCTGTGCCAGCCGGCGGAGCAGTGCCAGCCCTGCCCGGAGCCCGCCCCGGTCACCCACCAGTGCCAGCACACCCAGACCAGCAGCCCCAGCGACGTGTTCCCGGTGTTCCCAGTGCCGGGGAGCGATGACTGCCGGGGCCACACCGTCAGGAGGGTCCCCCTGCACTCCTGCGAGCCGGTGAGGGCCACGGGCTGAGGGTTCTGCTGCTCGTTTGGTTTGTGTGCAGAGGACAAAATGTGGGGGATGAAGGGGTTTGTGTGTCTGTGAGCCCCGGGTTGGGTTCAGACCCTTCACAGGTGATTCCTTACAAGTGCGTGGTGCTGAAACAGCAGAGTCCGGGGGTGTGTTGCAGGTAACTTTGTGTGCTCGTTGCAGACTGCTCTGGGACTGTCCAAGGCTCTCTCCTGTGCTGTTGGGGGGGAAAAAAGGCTGGTTTAGGTGTTGTATCCTATTTCTCGTTGGCATAGACCTGTGCTCAGGTGTCTTGAGCATCATTCCAAGGTCCTTTAACTGTGTAAAGTCTTGCTGATTTGTTTGGTTTTGTTTTCCTTTGTCTGGGAGCATTACCATTGACTGAGTCAGGTTTCCTCTGTCAGTCTGTACAACAAAGACTGAGGGATGCACAGCTTCTGCCCCTAGTTTTGGAGAAAAGACATGTTGTTCTATAACCTTGACAAGCATCAGTTCAGGATTTCTTTCCTCCTACACTGATCAACAGGGGCTTCAAATGTATTTCAATTTGATGCAGAAGTTTTTGACACAGATTCACTGGAAACACTAAATGAGCTTTCAGTTGTACCTGTACCCTGTTAGTGGAGCTGGGGAGGGAGTGCAGAGTCTTTCCTGAGCCCAGTCAGTGTTTGGGTGACAAGACAAACATCCTGGGGACCTTGGTGTCAGACCTGTGCAGAACCTTCATTGCCAGGCACTCCCATAGACCAGCTCGGGCACACTTGGCTTGGGCTGCCTCTGGAATTCTTTTGTTGTTCACACAGGAAAATATTTGGACTGTGCAGTGCAAACCCCACTGCTGCCCTGGGGGATCCTGCACCCGCCTGGTCCCATCTGGGTGCTGCCCACAGGTGTTTTATCCACCTCAGCTGTGGCAGCAGGTGTCTGACAGATTTCCTAGTTCCCAACACTTCCCATTTTAGCATCCTGATGATTACATTGCTGTGGAAGAGAGTACTTTGCCTACTTGTTGTTGTAAAGGAAGTCATTCATTTCTGTACAGTTTACTGAGAACCAGGAGACACAAAAGACTCGTTACCAAGGAAAAGCACAGCGTAAACAAATTGCAAATTAGTTCAAGCAAACAGGCCCAAATCCATCATACCTGTAGCATTCTCGTGCTCAGCTTTCACCCCAAAGAAGGGAGCTCCATTCTGACCTCCCTGCCTGTGTCCTGCCAGGTGAACTGCTCCCAGGAGAGCCCGGACCAGCTGGACTGTCGCTTCTTCGGGGAGCTCCTGGCTGAGCTGCACCGCAAGGGCAACGACCTGTACAGCTGTTTGCTGCAGCACGTGGAGAAGATTGGAGGCAGGTACTGGCATTGGATCTGTGCTGCCATTCCCATATCCCAGATATCTGTGCACTGCACAGCCGAGAGGACAGTGTTGGTTGAGAGTTGTGCTCTTTTTCTTTTTTTCTTCCCGGACAACTAGAATTGACTGCATGTTTTACACGTTCATAATTTGCAGAGTAACTGAGGACATAAAAATGCTGCAAGCCAAGGAAATGTATTGAATTTGATGCTTTTTCAAATTCATTAAGGAATTTGTATCCTGTGCCTGTTTGCACATTGAGCAAACAAGTACTTACAGCACACTCTGACTTATATTTAATGATGTGATTCTATTGCTGGGTTCTGAAGAAATGACCCAAGTATCCAAACTTCCTTTGTCCTGTTGCGCTGCTGTGTCATAAAAGACAGCCACCATGAGGAATAAAGCTCGGTCTCTACATGCAAATTAACATCAAGCACGTTTTCTGCAGAGCCCTGCAGACTGTCTGTGGGAAGAAATGCAGAGTCACAGTAACCAGGGCTCTGGGGCTCCGCAGCCTTCCCACCTGTCCCTCACAATCCCCTTCACTCCCAACCCCCTTCACTCTTCCCTCTCACTTCCAGTCTTAGTGCTTCCCAAAGCCACTGAAATAAGGAAAGTGGTCCTGTAGCAGGGAAAAGGGGAATTTAACCATCACAGAACCCCTGACGCTGCCAAGTAAACACTTTCAGCGTGTCAGTGGATTGCAGCAGAGTTGTGGGCAAACCATTACCCAGGCAATTAATGTAATTGGCTTAACTGCCCATAATTGAGGTAACTGCCCAAAGAAATGGGGATAGTCAGCTTGTGTCAGCTGTGCTGCTGTTGGTACTCCAGGCTCCTCAGGAATTTCCCCATGGAGTGGTGTTTGACAGGTGACGTTGCCTGGCACCTCAGAGGGAAGGAAACAGCTCTTCAGCTGATGAAGACCCTTCCCTGCTCAGTGTTTTATAGACAGGCTTTCAGCGTTGAATGTGGGGGTGAATTCTTAAAGTTCTCAAGCAGCTTTTTGTTAATGGATCCTTTGAATTTTGTGTTTTACAGGAACCATGACATCGAGTTTACATCTCAGGTGAGCACAGGCTGTCCCCTGATGTCAGTGCTGATACCAGTGAGGGGGGGCTGCAAGGGAATTAAGCCAAGCTCAAGCCACTTCACATAAAGGAGGCTGGTCTTTGTTAGTGAATGATTCCTGCTTGGCATTAATATTCAAAGCCTGACACCTACTGCCAGGTAGGTATTTGCAAATGTGATAATGCTGAAAGGAAACTTCAATAATTTGCATTATTCCAGTACGAGAGTCAAATTTTAGAAGTCTTCCCTGCAGTGTCAATAATGGTTTCAGTGGAAAACAACTTGCACAGGTACCTGTATTCCACGGTGTGCTTTTGAAAAGGATCCTTCACTCTCTTGCCAGTAAAGCTGCTGCTGAGCAGCACGAGCTGCACCTTTAAAGGCATTGTGTGTGTGGCAGAAAACTTGTCCAGGGTTCAACTGCAGACAGCAAATGCCATTGAATAGCTGGCACAACCTCCTGTTGGTCATCTCGTGTTCAGTGAGTCTGTCCACTGGTCAGAAACATGAGATTTGACCCCACCATAAACTGCTGGGAGTTGCTGTAGCATCAGCTGTTTTTTCTTGGGAGAGGATTGGTTTGAATACTGTTTTTAAAATAAATGTGAAACTTGAGGATTTGAATATATGATTCGTGTACCACTTCATCTCACTTTGTATATGCCCCAAATATAAAAGGCTGGAATTTTTTTTAAATATTCTTTAATCTATTTTCATTCTTATTTGCCTTGTTCTAAACATGTTTTTCATAGTAGGGCTGTGTAATTAATGAAGAAACCACATTACTATCTACCAGGCAAAATTCTTAATCAAGATGTCTCCCCTTTCTTCCCTTCTTTGCTTAGACTGAAGATATTGAAGAATTAATTCCCAAAGGACTGTCTGAGGCAACAAAGCAGCAGATTCGTTATCTCCTCCAGGTATGGGAGTGTGGAAGCCAACAGGAACTTGAAACAGCAGTTGGCTTACTCACAGCAGGGACTTTGTACATAACATACTTAAGAGTTCACTCTGTATTCCCCTCATTCCATTTTTCTGGTGTGCAGGGGATGGAATGGTCCAGGTGGCCATGAGGGAAGTGTGGCAGCTGGACCTACAGTCCCATTTTTTAAACTGAACTTTACTGGTGCTTTCCTGCAGTTTCACTGGAAACTGTCTTGGCTTTTGATCACCGACAACAGAACTGAGACCTTTCATCTTTCTGTCTGTGTTGTGTATTAATACTTTGCTTTAAAAGCCAAAAACAAACAGTAGGCGCTGCAAACACATGGCAGAAAGTATTGCAGTGCTGGGAAACAATTAAATGCCAGCCAGGAGCAGAGCCTGCGTCCCAACTGCTCACAGCCCAACCCCATGGCTGGGGAGGGAGCTAAAGAACCAGATCAGGAGGACAAAAACCTTTACAAATGGAACCACAGCAGGAATGGGGCTGTTTGTTACCCAGTGCCACAAGCACAGCTCAGCACTTAGTGCTGCATTTGCCAGGCAGGAATGTTGGAATAGGATCCAGAACAACCTGCACTGCTCTGCAGGTGTGTCCTGAGCCAGGCTCCCTGAGGTGGGGGTAGTGTGATCCTACTTGGGAGCTGCACCTTGGAGTTGCTTCCTGTTAAAAAAATATCCATTGAAATGAAGTTGTGAACAAGCAACCTGGTCTGAGCTCAGAGCTTGTCTTGCTTTAAGCAGGAGGCTGGGACAAGATGAGCTCCCAAATCCCTTCCAACTTCTCTTAGAAGGAAGATGGACATCGACACCCAAGTAATTGCTGAGTGGGGTTTTACTTAAGTTTTATAGTCTAAATTCAAATATTTTGACTTAATTCCTTCTTTTAAACTGCTCTATAGTGTATTTAACAATAAACCCAACAAAAACCAGAAGTCAAAACTGAAATTCCGCTTTAATTAAAAAACAAAGAGGTGAGTGACACCAGAAATGTGATTTTTGAAGCCTCAGTTACACAATGGCACCAGTGGGGATAAAAAAATCACACAAGGGCCAATCCCCACATGGATGGAACTGTGAGCACATCCTTCAGCTGGGATGAGCAACAAATCAAGGGAACAGACAGGAAGGTTCACTTTTGTCCAGGCAGTAAAAAACACAGCTTTTGCACAGAATATTCAGCCCTTCCAGGTGAGTCACAACTTAAGGATTTACTCGTGTGTCCTTTCAAAGTCTCTATTTCTTCTTTAAAATACCAGAAACGTATCATGAAATGCAACAACTTGTGTTTTCACCTGAATCAATAGACAGCTGTTACAGGCATTAAAATTAACATTCCAAAGGAGAACAGTGCTTGGCTGTGATGCACTTCTGCCTTTTTCTTTCATCCAGGTGACTCCTTTCATCTTTGGGATCTTTCTCCTTTTAATGGGAGGAGTTGGTTGTATGAACTTTTTTAATTTAAATTTTTGAAAATGTTAATTAAATTCCCTCACCCTTGAGCCCAAAGCCTTGCCAGATCTCAAACATGACTCATTCCATGGCTTCTCAGGCAGGGCAGTAATTTTTTTAAATCAGTGTAAGCATAAAGCTTTGAATGCTCAAACAATGATCGTGCAATATTAGCACGTTCATTTTCCCCTTTATTGGTATACAAAGGCAGTTCCTTACTCTCTTGTTCCTTCCATTTTAGAATGTTGTCCTGTGTTGCAAGGCAGCAATTTAAAACTATGGCATTTGCAGGACAAAGTGCATGAAAATGTGTTTCTCGTAGAAATTGTGGGCACTTCAAAGGATGTGCAGTAGTTTAAAACTGATTTTCAGCTGTACAGCAGTTTCTGTTCTACCTCTTGTCAAGCATATTGTAGACAGAGCTAATGAATCCCAATTATCCATTTCATTTTGTAAACAGAGCTAATTAATCCCAATTATCCATTTCATTCTTTCCCTCCTAGATGAGAGCCACGTCGGATAAATCCCTGAGACTTGTGCTTTCCACTTTCAAGAATCTCCGGGAGGAGCTGTGCCATTTGCAGGATGACCTGGGGGTGAGCAGGTTCCTCCCTTCCCAGGGCTCACCCACCTGTTTTCCCTGGCAGCAGGAGTCCAACATTGACATTCCAGTGCTGGATCCAGGTTGGGGCTACTCTGTTCACACGGCAGAGGAGGTTGGATGGTGCTGGTGGCTTTGGCAGCTCCAGAGGTTCTCTGGGTACAGCATCCCAGTCTGGAAGCTGGAGCTCTGTGGCTGTGGATACAAAGAACTGTTAGGGAAGCAGAAATGTTTCCCACACCAGCCCAAGTGCTTGGTACCACTGGGAATGTCACAGCATTCTCCTGTAAAATGCAAAGTTTAGGGAGAGGGTGTTTTAACTGTCATCTTTAACAGAGAACAAGGAGGTCTTAGTTTTTGGTTGATTGTTTTTTTTTTTCTTTGTTTTGTTTTTCTTTTTTTTTCTTTTTTTGTTGGGATTTTTGTTTGTTTATTTTCAGGCTTTTGTTTGGGTTTTTTTTGTTTGTTTGGGGGTTTGCTTGTTTGTTTTTGTTGGCTTCTGTTTAAATTCTTTCTGGGGCAGACTGGAAGAGCAGTGTCCAGGATCCCACAAAGCCACAGACACTGCAGTGTGTCCTATGTTGACTATTTTCTCAGTTCTAGAACACCCCCTCAGTGTGTTGCACTTCATGGGAAGAGTTTACTGAAAAACTGGAGCTGTTGACTTTGAACACTTTTGTCCCACAGAAGCTGGAAACCGACAATGTCTTGCTGAAGAAGGATTTGGCTTTTAAGGATTCTCAAGTAAAAGAATATGAAACCATGTTGGCTTCTCTAAGGGAGAACAATCGTCAGCAGCAGGTAAATCCAAATGTAATTCAGATTTCAGTGTAATTCCAGTCAGCCAAAAACTGGGCAGTTTGCTGACTTTTGGGTGTTCTCTGCTGCCTGGTGTGTGTGGTGCTGTTACTGCCTTGAGGAGCTCGTGCCCTCATTCCCTGTGTGTTTTCCAGCAAGGGCTGAGGGACAGCACTGCCAAGTGCCGCTCTCTGGAGGAGCAGCTGCTGTCGCTGCGGCTCAGCGAGGGCGACAAGGACTGTCAGCTGAAGGAGCTGGAGTACGGCAAGAGGGCCCTGGAGCAGGAGATCCAGAGCCTCAAGCTGCAGGTAACACTCACCTGCTCTGGGGGCAGTAGCTGGTACTCACAGACAGATTAAAGTATGCAAATAAAACTACTTATTTCCTGCAGAGCTGCTCCAGCCCCACACTCCAGACCACCACAGATGAGCTCTCCAGCCGATACGTGGAGATGATCAATAACCTGAGGGAGGACAAGGACCGGGAGATCCGCAGCCTCAGGGTGAGTGGTTCCACCTGGCACGTGTGTGGGAGCAGGAAAAGAGCTGCTCTTGTCCTTAACAACAAGAATGAGCTACCACAGGTACCTTTTGGGTATCTTTTGGTTCTGCAGTTACTTTATTCATAGACACTAATGATGGCTCAGAAACCCTTCTATAGAACATAAAACTGTGATTAAAAAAAATCCCCAACATTCGTTAGATGTAGAAATTAGGGATCAGTCCAATTAGCAGGCTTTCCTAAAGGGTTATCTTGTGCATCCTGATAAGGTAAAAAATTAGTCAAAAGACTGAGTTATTAAACTATTAAACTGATACTGGGTTGAATTCAGTCCAATCAGCACTTTCTGAATTTACTGTGCTGCTCAACTTTCTGAGTTGGAAATCACTGGGTCTTACTGTTCATGCTGGTAATGAAAAAATACACCCTTCCTGCCTGGAGCACACGCTCCTGACTGCTCTGCTCCCTGCCTGTTTTGCAGTCCCAGTTATGCCAGTTCCAGCAGGACATCTCCAGGAGGGAGGGGAGCAACAGTGACTTGCAAATGAGGCTGCACGAACTGACATCAATGCTGGAGGACAAAGAGGCTTTTATTAAACAACAGCAAGAGGTAAAATAATACAAGTCGTTTCTCTTTTAAGAGGTTGTGTATTAAAACCTCCATGTCCTGTGTAGGTGGAAGCTCACTGGGTAGTCACTTGTCCTCTCCTGGCTCAGGAATCGGGGTTAGGATTTGTTCTAACTGAATCCTCTGCCAGCCTTCTGGAAGGACAGACTTTTCAGACTGTTCTCTGGGAGGAATTTCTGCAAATATTTTGTAGCAACTTTATTGAACTGATGCTTCAGAAAACATTATTTCCTGTGAATGTTTTCTGTTGGTTTTCTCAGGAGCTCTTCAGACTGAAGCACGAGAAGTTATCGGGCAGTCAGTCCCCTGGAGTGACAGCCATCATCACTAAAAAGTAACGTGGTTTATTCACTTTCCTTAAAAATACATCCTTTGGGTTCTCTCTCTCCTCTCTGCTAATCAAGCTGTTCCTGCAAATGTCTTAATCCTGCCCGTTCAACCTAAAGGGGAAAAAGACAAGAGAGGTTTTCCTGTACAGAGAGGGTTCAGCACTGGGAGGGGGGTCCAATGTGTCACAGTGACACTGAAATGTCTCTGCTGGCTTTGTGCAGCTCTTTGGGGATTAGAGACTGGCAGGGCTGTGGGGCAAGGTCACAGTTAGGGATTTGGACACAGGGCTGCAGATCTCACTCTACAAGTTGGCAATTCTCTTTCACAGGTACAGGAATCAATATCCTATTCTGGGCCTCCTGTCTGATGACTACAAGGTCACATCACCTGTCAATAAATCCCAAACTATTGTCATTGAGAGGACTGGGGAGATATGGAAACACGTAAGTTTACCTGGAGAGGGGCTGTTCCCTCCCAGCAATCCCCAAGTGTTCAGTTTAACTCCAAAGCAAGTATTGGCCAAACTGGCAGCTGAGAGAGGCTCTCATGGTAATTTAACTCCGCAAAAAGCAAAGTGACTGATTACAGTCAAGGAACTGTCCCGGCTCTTGCAAGCTGCAGTAATTGGTGGGTGGGGTACAAATAAAACCTTTTGTTGTTTTCTCTGGCATGCAATTACCTTGAACAAAAGCAGCAGCATTGCTCTAACACCAGTCCCGAGGGTGTTGCTGTACTGGGCAGGTGGGAGGGATGTGTCCCTGCTGTGCTCTCTGGTGAGGAGGGTTTTGGGTGGGCAGTGCTCCTTTGAATCAGCAGCATTAATGACTCCAAGCTATTACTAAAACATACTAAACACCACATCCCTGAAACTCAGCTTAAGCCAGGGCAGTGGCTAACCCAGGAATGCAGAAAAGTGGTGACACTTTAAGCAGTGATTCAGAGTGCAAATAGAAAATAGGGCTGCAGAAGCTATTTCTGTTACAGGGCACAGGCTCGTGGTGCTGAGTCTGCTTACACCAGACTCAAAATAAAGTCCAAGGCTGGAGAAATGTCAAGGTGCTGGTCTCCAACCAGGTGTTCTGGTGCCTGCAGGTGCAATGACACAGCAGCACGTGGACATGGGGGTTAACAGCGTGGTTTGGGGGGATACAGCCAAGAGACAGTCAAAGGGTAACACACCTGGTGTATGTTACCTGCAGTGGGATTAAGTAAGTAAAAGGCAGAGGTCATTGGCAAACAGCAGAGTTTTATTACTGATGCCTAAAACTCACCAAGTTGCACTGCAACCTAGTGAAATGTCAAGCAATTAAACATTAATAAAAAAGTTAAAAAATAAAGTGTGGTACAGAAGAAGGGCTCACTGGTTCCCTCAGACACTCAGGCTGCTGGAGAAAACAACTAAGATGCTTTATAACAGGTAGTTTTGTTTTAAAACAGAACTAAGTTTGTTTCTAACTAGCTGCTTGTTTCTTTCAGGACTGAAAGAAACCTCTGGGCCATCAGAGCTGTTTGAAGGAGTTCACAGCCACTCCACCTGCTTTACTTTCTGCTACTCTGCACCCAGAAAAGGTTCAGTCTGCCAGTGAGGAGGGCTGGGAACACACTGAGGACTCACTTTTCCCTCAGAAGAGCAGGATGCCATCCCTCTGTGGACTTCAGCTTTTCTTGACTAACTCCTGTTCTTCAGCCAGTCCTGAAGTGATCTAAGAGACAGAAGGAAGACACCTGAAACCTTTTCCTCTTTGTCCTGGTAGCCATATTCCTCTGTCCTGTCTCCTCATGCTGAGAGTGGGAATGGCACCCATGTCAGTCCCACACATCATGGGGCTGCTTCCAGTGCAGTCTCAGGCTGCCATCTGGAGATGATAAAATCCCCAGAAACCACCTTCACAGGGAACTTCAAAAATACCTCACTGAAAACTGCTTACCTTCACCTGCCTCTGTGTGGGAAGCTCAGACACAAAGGACAATTACTTAACTTACAGCAACCACACAACTCCTCAAACCCAGCTTCTGAACTGGGAAATGCCAGCAGGATCCAGTTCAGTGAATGGTTGGGCAAAGGGTCATTTTAGAGAATGTTTCTGACCTCAGAGGTGATGTATGTTCAACCCCAAACCAGCTGTAAGTATTTATTTGCTGTGCTTGAAATTTTCAAGAACTTGGTATATTTTTATATAGAAGAACTTTGTATGAAAATAGCTCATGGACTAAATTTCCTCATCAGATCAACCTGCCTTTAACAATTTCTGCTCCTTCCAGGCCCACAGAAATTCATTCAAAATAATTCAGTATTCATGAGTAAGTTGTTGTCTGAGCAACACAGCACAGAGAATCACAGGGCAAAGTTTAAACCAAAGGTGCTTTTTATAGTGGGGTTCTTGCTTTGCTTTACTTCTGCAGCCATTTCTGTTCACAAATAATATATAGCACAGGCAATGCTGGAGGATACGTGTAACCATGAAATAAACCCAAGTGTAACTTTCTGAATCACGTCTGTCTGTCCTGGAAACAGCTGGAGTGGGGAGTGAGGTGGTGCCCTGTTCCTCCATGTGAATCTTGACAAGTGAAGGACCAGTGCTGGGTCCCTCTCCTGGCCCCTGATCCCAGGCCTCCCCAGAGGTGATGTTGGATGTCCAGCTGTGCTCATGCTTTTCAGAACTGGAGAAAGAGCCGCAGGTAAAACCTGCTCCTGGTGCTGCTCTTTGAGTGTGTCCAGGCTGAGATGGGCCAGGAATTTCAGGAACCAAGTAAGAGTTTGCACCAGCAACTGTCAACCACTTCAGCCTGGCTCTACAGAAAGAGGGTTACATTAGTTAAATCCCATCCTTTGAATGAGGATGGCCATGCCCATCTGAAACCAATTATTCTTCTAAAACAACCCCCCATTTCTATAGAGCAGTGACACGTGGAGTACATCTACAGAGCTAACAGAGTAGTGACACAGAACAGTGTCAGTGTCTTCTATCCCAATAAATAATCTTACTTAGACTGTCCTTAAATGACTTTTCACCTTTGGTGATCTACAAAAAAAAAAAAAAGGCTTAAAAGAGGCAGAAGGCCATGTTTGTCTAATGCCATCACTTACCTGTGCCTGACTGTGCAGGGGTCCTGACTGCAGGTGCCCCAGGAGCACGGGTGCCTTGCTGTGGTTGTGCTGGGCAGGGCTCTGGAGAGGCTGCAAAGAGCAGAAATGTGAGTTACTGATGGGCACAGTTACTGTGGGCTGGTGTCAGCCATGCAAGGGCAGTGCACATCTACTGACCATGCCCTCAGTGACACCAACCCGTGTTTCCTCAACTCCCTGGCACAGCAAAACACAGGCAGGAAACGCCCCTGAGGGCAGACACAGACTCTGAACAGGAGTTCCTGGGTGTGGTGGGACAGTTCCCTGACAAAGGCCACCATTAGGCAAATAATGTGTTTTGCATATGCAGCTGGCAGGATGGTAAATCCCAGTGAAAACAGCACACCTGTTCCCCACACTGGAGCAGAGAGGCACGGGCAACCTGTTCAAAACAAGCCCAGTTTGCTGCTCAGGACAGGGGGCTGTACTGGAGGGGTAGCAGGTTCAGCCCCTCGAAGGGGGCTACACAGCACAGGTCATAACTACACACTGTACTCACAGATAAAGCAACAGAGAGTTGTTAGAAAGCTGAATTAGACTAGTAGGTAAAGCATGTGGCCATTTCTTTATGGGCTGGGCTTTGTTTTCAAACCAGATTTATTTAAAAAGCAAATTTAGTATTTTTCATTATAAAGTACCTGTTACTTGCTGTGGTCTCAGCTGTCGCCTCTTTTCTGTTGCATTGGAACTGATTTACCTAAAAGTGCTTTCTGCTGGAGTTTACAGAAACACATTTTTCTCATTTACTCAGCTCTGTAAATGCTACTTATAAACACTTTGCTTGAGATAATTTCCCACCTCAATGTCAGGCAGTTCCACCAAGATTTCTACATTTTTTTCAGGAACAAATTAGAAAAATCAGACAGCATTTACTTCACATATTTACAACAATACACAGTCTGTCCTATTTGACTGTCTTTATCAACAGTGTTATTAGATAACCTCTCACTGTCTGAACAGAGTCTGGTTTTGCACTGAAGAGCAGGAGAAAATTGTCTTCAGGTTTTTGTGACTGACCTTTCTGTAACAAGGAAGTTTCTCTCCCTCAGCTGTGAAATAAAAGCCAAAGAGAGCCCTGGTTCAGAAGCTCCTGACAGCTCTGGAGTCACACAGACCACACCCAGGTAACTCACCCTCACCTCCTGAGTGTTGTGCTGCTCTTCTTCCCTGTTTTCTATTTTAGTAATTGTGGGCATTTGAAACCTGAAGAAAGAAAAACACAGATGATCAAGACACGACTCATTTTTTAACTGCACCCGTCAGTCTGTCACTCCAATAAAACTGCACCAAACAAGTGCCATTCCAGAACAACCCTTGCACAGTCTGTGAACTCCCCTTGCTCAAGCACCATTTGTCCATCACATCCAGCGTGCCAGGAGCAGAGGAGGGACACAAACAACAGCTGAGCTTCCTCCACCTGCTCCCAGCAGTGACAGCCCCACCCACAGCAGGTACTTCACTGTACCCCCTTCCCACTGCAGGTTCTGTGGAGTGGCAGCCCATCACAAACACTGGGAAAGGGACCTGTGGAGGTACTGAGAGACACATTTTACTGTGACTTGACAGGAAGCATTTTTAGAGTCATGACACCTCCATGGTGACAACACAACAGTCACCAAAATTCTCTTCAATATTTACTGGGAAAGTGCACTGAAAAGGGACTGTGTCTTAAACTGCTGAAGAGTCAGGTGACATTTTATTCTTGCATTTCAGAAGATTTAAAATGCCGCTTTCTAGTAAAATCTTATGTCAAGAACAGCAATCAACCTCTTGCTTTGCTACAGAATTATTACCTGATTATTCTATCCACCTGTAAGGTGGGGAAAATGAGCCAGCAGGGCCGTGGGCTTCCTCACAGAGCCAGGGTGATCATCTTCGAGCTGCTACAAAGAAACTCTTTCAATCCAAGTATTCAACACAATGGGAACAAAGCATTAACGTGGTCAGAAAAGCACAACTTTTTTTTTGAATGCTACCTCTGACTGCAAAGCAAAGCAGCAGCAACAAGAAGATAAATACATTCTGCCTGCTTAATTTCTCCTTTTTGGTGCAAAACCTACGAGTTCAGTGGCTCGAAGCCTGTTGGAAATCCTTGGTCAACTGTTCATTTAAAATCACACTTCCTTCTTCAAGTTTTTAATCTACTACTGATGTTGTAATTCAAGTATCCTAAAAAGAGAGGGAATTTAGGATAGCAGCATTTTTAGTATTTCACTCTGCAAGCTGTTCTTATTACACAGACAAAAAGGAAAAAAACCACCTACCTGAGTTTTCCCAAAACACATGAGAAGTTTTATGTTCTCTTAAAGGAAAAATAATGTCAAAGGAATGTCAGTATCACATTTGAGAATAATTTTAGAAATAAACAAAATAAGCACATTACCTGTAAGTTTAAAGGGTTAGTCAAATCAAAGCCAAAGCTCTCCCCTCGACAGTCTGACAAATATACCTCCAGTAACCTGCTTCTGGTTCAATGTTATTACATACTAATCAGTGAATAATGCAATTAAAAATATCAGGTAAGTTTCCACAGAATGAGACTTTCCTAAACACCATAAATGAAAAGCAAACTCCAAAAACTTTGGAGTGCAAGAGATGCGTTTTATTGTATGCCCGTTACGATGAGTAACACATTTAGAAATAATAATCCCACAGAACAGTGACAATCTTATTTTACAGCGTGTACATCATTTTTTATAGCCACATAAAACACGTATTTGTCTAAGAGATTTCCCAAATTTAACTTTCTGAAGTTTAGAAATATAAAAAAAATTTATTCTCAAGGAACTGATTCTCATCTGGTGCAAAAACAAAACCAAAATATGAACATTATCTGGAACACAAAGCCACAATATAGCATGAAGTTACAATTTCTCATGTGAACAGCTGTGTGCAAACATGAAGCAACTAAAAAAGTAAAAAATACACATTATATGCATAACATTTATGACCAGGTTTTTCATTAAATAGCCCTAGACCAGCTCGTTATATAAGCGCCATTGGATCTGCAGCATGCTAACACAAAGCATTGTAAAGGGATGCATATTTTAAATGTATACACTGTAAACTCAAGATCCACCTCCAAACTCTAGTGGCAGCAGATTTTTCTGGTTAAATACTGCATATATACTTTCTTACAGATTGAAAATGCATGTTTATAGCATGGTATAGATCTTTTTTTTTTTTTTAAAAGAATCCACTGAAAGGTGCAATTTTATGTCTATATGGAAAATTTCCTATTAGGAGGTAGGACAGTAACTGTCATACCTGTTAAGAACACTGTCCTAAAGAACTTCTAAGTACTTTGAATTTTAATTAAAAAAAAAAACAACTCTACAGTTTTCAACTGTTTTTAATATTCTTTTTTAAAGAAGATTTTTAAAGTAGCGAGAAGAAAAACTAGTGTTGTCACAACACTATGAGCTGCATCCATTTTATCCTTAAAAAAAAAGTCAAATTCAAAGTTAATTTTGTTATATGTGCCATACTGAACAACATTCAACTGTAGTTTCAGATAAAAAAAGGGAAATTATGTACATATATATCTTTAACCCTAGCACCAGAACACCACCTCTGAGACCATAACATAGTGCTCTATTTCAAACATCAAATCCTGCAATAAAATAGGTTAGCAGCTTTGAAAACCAGTAAAAAAATGCTTCTTGGACCTAAACTAATAAAGGAAACCAAAAAGTTTCCTGATGAAATGTTCAAAAAAAAAATAAAAAAAAAATCAAACCAAACAAGGGACAACCCCCCCCCCAACTTTGAGCAGTTCTGAAATTCAATTTCTAGGCACAATTAAAACGTTGGGATGAAGTGACTGACTAAAACCCCCCCGTTCAAAACTGCAAAAGAAGTGAAGACTGGGCTCCTTTGCAAACCTTTTGTAACTCACCCCACCACGACTCCGAACTGTTTTCATATTGGAGACAAATGTTACTGACAAAATGGGTCACACAATCAGCTCTGCTCTGTCTTCTGTACTTAGCCATGGGAAATACTATTCACCTGAAGACATTCATCCATCTTCCTGCAACTTTAAGACATTCATCCAACCTCTCCATTCTATAGTGCTCTTTAGGTTCTGATAAGCAACAATCATAGGGCTATGAGATCCCCTGCCAACCCTAATACTTTTAAGACTTTTAATACAAAGAATGTAAAGTTATGGTTTAATATCAAGCTTTGAAACCAGGAGAAACAGTTCGTGAGATTTATTTTTTTCCCCAATTAGCATTATCACAGTTTCTACACCGCCTCCTCCTGCAGCTCCTCTGTCACATTATGGCCTCCTTGTGGTGCCTCATGATGTGCTGATTTTTCTCGGAGGGCCTGCGGAAGCCCTTTTTGCAATACTCACACCTGTGGGGGTAGTCCTTGGTGTGGATGGAGATGACGTGCCGCTTGAAGCCCGACGCGTCCGTGGTGCTGTACTCACAATACTGGCACTGGTACACCTTCCTCCCACTGTGGGTCTTCATGTGCTTCTTCAGTTCGTTCTGCTGCCTAAAGCCTCTTTTACACCGTTTGCATTTAAAAGGCAGGTCCTTGGTGTGAACTGAGAGGATGTGCCCGCTAAGTACAAAAGGATCTGAGGTTTTGAAGTCACAGTGCCTGCACTGGTGGATCTTTTTCCCTTTGTGGGTCTCGCTATGCTTTTTGAGCTCCGAGGGCCGGTGGAAGCCCTTCTCGCACACCTCACACTTGTGGGGGAAGTCCTTTGTGTGAACCGAGATAATGTGTCGCTTCAGGTCACTGGAATTGGTGCTCTTGTGGTCACAGTGGGGACACTGGTGAGTCTTGTGCCCTTGGAACAACTCCATGTGCTGCTGCAGCTCCTTCTCCTCGGCGAAGGCCTGGGGACAGTGCTCACACTTAAAGGGCAGGTCAGTGCCGTGTTTGGTTTTGATGTGAGTTTTCAGGTTGGACTGGTCAGCACACCTGAACACACAGTGCTGACACTGGTATGGCTTTTCCCCCGTGTGGGTCCTCATGTGCTTTTTCAGCTCCGAGGGGTGGCGGAATCCCTTCCCGCACTCCACGCACACGTGAGGGAAGTTCTTGCTATGGACTGCCAGCAGATGTCTGTTGAGTAGTCCCTGCTCTGCAGTCTCATAGTCACAATATTTGCACTTGTGTAGCTTGGGCTCCTTGTCCCTCAGGATGAGTTTGTTGGAACTCAAGGGGCTCGCTTCTCTGTATCTTCTCGTGTACTCTGTAAACTCATGAGTTTTATCAACCTTATTTATAAGTTTATGGCTTTCCAGATGATTGTGGAAACTTACTTTTTTGTTGGTTGTAAAGTCACAGTCTGTACACTGGTACTTCTTCTTAATCATATGATCAGGATGGTTCTTCATATGCCTTTTCAAGAATCCTCTGGATTTAAATTTTTTCCCACAAATATGACAAGGGTAAACTGTTAGGGGCTGTCCATCAGGACCTATTATAACAGCTGTTTTTAAACAAACAAAAACAAGTTATGAAGGAAACACATTTACTGATGAAGTTTTAAATCAGCCAAGTGCTGTTCAGATTCATGCACTTACACTTGCAGCAGAGAGAGTGGTTCAGTAGTTTAAAAACAACCAATCCACAGCACCTATAGTTTATATAATTTTAGGAACTGCTCCAACAGATCAGGAATTATCACATGTGCAGTGAATATAGCCATGGTTACTTTCTAATAGCTTGCAACATTCCAATGAATTGCATCAGCCCTGAGTGTACTGACTCTGAATAGCAAAAATACGACATTTTCTATGCACAGAACTGGAGGGGGGAAGGACACAGGAAATATGCAAATCATCATTTAGAGCTTTTAATTCTGCATCAGCTTAAAAAAGAGAAAAGGAATAGCACAGGAGTAGGTGGCACTCCATGACAATACCGTAGCCATCCAGTGTTTACCTGTTTGCCATTGCCTGGCCTCTCCTCTCCTCCTTTTCTTGGCTTTTTGTTTGAGCACTCTATTAGTGCCAATGCTATCACAAATCTGCAGGTACTGTGTTGCATTACCGTTTTTGTTTTCTAATCGTGTATCCAAGTTATTTCCTAGAAACAAAAATTAGACACCATAAAAAACCTTAAACAACTTGTTTCTTTGGGACTGATGACTGGAATTGCACAGCAGCATTTTAAAAACAAATATTGCCCTTTCCTCTACCATGAACACACATAAAGAAGAGAAATGCCAATATAAAGCACTCTCTCTTTCCTGGCAAAAGTCAGGAATATAATTGCTTAAATACTGATTAATTTTTAAATATATTCCTTGATTTTTCTTACTTCTCAACACATTAATTTCTTATGAGTTATGCTGGTTGTTCCCTTCTACTTAACTTATTTTTACTTCTTAAGAGCTGCATTATCCCTCTTCTGTCTGCAACACTGCATTAACAACCTGGCAGTGCCTCCCAACTTCCCACCCCTCCAAAGGCCTACAGACATCTAGAATTGCTCTAACTCAAAATAGTAGAGAAAGACTATGGAGTCCTTCAATATAGAATTCCCTGACACATAAATGCACATATTTTCAAGGACAGCACAGCAGTTTTAATGTTGTTACAAGTTCTCACCTGCCGCTTGACCATCTTCGTATCTTCGGGGAAGCCTTCTTTCATCTCCTGCAGAAAATGGTATTTTAGTCATTATAAATTAAAATTATTTTTAAACACGATGGCTTCAAAAGTCTGATAATGAGAGAAAACTAACTTAGGTAATAAATAACAGCTTAACACCATCCAAAGGGAGATGTGCAGCTCACAATCAGTTCAGTGTTCTGTAATCACGAGCCCCAGGAAACAAAATCTCATCTTTGTGGAGAGTTAATATCCACTAAATCTGTGCTTGCATGCTTGCCATGCTGGCTTTTCCGCTTTTCAAAATCAACATGCTTGTTTCTGCAAACTTTTAACCTCATCTATCAGCTCAGATACCAACCCAGAGGTTATCTGCAATGTTCCTGAGATGGAAGCATGTTATCTTTCTGGAGGAGGACCAGGCTGATAAGAGGACTTGGCCCTGATCAGCTTCTCAGCACTGATCTACATGAGGCCCTGTGAAGTTTTGGAAGATGTACAAGGAACACCTTAGGAGTGTATTCCTCATTTTGCATTGGAAGTGTTCACTGCTATGTGTCAAAGCTCTGTGGTTCTGAACCCTTTCATCAACCCAGGCTCACATCATCACACCAATGAATTTTAACTGACTTGATTACTTAATTGTAACATAAACCACAGACGACCCAATACCCTCTTAACAAACATTTAACGCACCAAAATCCAAGAAAATCATATAAAAGAATAGACAGAATTCAGAATATATCCTAAGACAGTTTCACAATTTGAAACATGGCTACAGAGAACAAATCACCTTTTTTCTTTCTGTTTCTAACCTGAAGGACTAACAGGCTTAGAACACTTGCACAAACTGAAATTATGAGGAACATGCTTACACATTTATTCCTACGTCAGGTTTTTCCCCCTTCCCCCCAGCCAGTGTAAAATACTTAAGGCTGTTCTTGTTGTTCTAAGATCTTCAACAGCCACCATGAACCATCAAACCCCACACACGCCTGAGCTGGGATCAGGAACAGCATAAAACCTCTCCTAACAGCTTTCCTTTCTACTTCATGAAACAAAACAGAGATCAGGAGGAGCTGTTTCCAAACTCCTGGAACAAGGTGAGAGATCGTCACATTTGCCCAGAGATTCTGGAAGCTGGATGAGGGAGGGAATAATGGATGGGATTTCAGGAAATACAGATTCCTACCGTAAGCAGCAGCCCAAGCAACAGGGACAAACGTTTTATTCACGCCAGAGTCCTCGAGCTGGGTGTCTGGAAGGGATGTAGCTTCTTCTTCACCTACAATAACTTCCATATAAACTTCATCTGCTATTTCAGCACAGCCTGGACGAGGGGAGAAGAATAAATCTTCAGTTTTATTCTGCTCATCCTAACTTTTCCTTCATTAAATTTGCTCTCACTCTGCTTGATACCCATTATAAACTACTTTTCTTCCTGTGGCATTTAGAACCACCTCTGCCCTTAGGGCATCACTGTTTATTCAGACATTCCTTAAAGAGAGAAAACACTTATCAATAAATACAAATCCAAACCAAATACCAACAGAATTTCAAATATGTAAACTTACAAACTTGCAACTGATGGCATTTGCTACTTTGCCAGAAAGCTGCTTAATTCACAGGAGGAAAACAGAAAAATGACAGTTTGACTAACCTCATTAACCTCATCCATGGACACGTTAAATTTAATATAAATAATGAAATGATTGCACACAGTATGCAAAAAGTGCACTATCCACAACACTTCAAAATAATCATTGCCTGCTTTTTATTTTAGGGAAGATGAGCTTAGTTTTCTACTATCCAGGCTGAAGAATCCTTCAGAAAAAATTAAAAATGTCCTTGAGAATGATGGTTATATTGGTGTACAAATAGCATGAGAAACAAAAATGTTTCTTGTTATGCTTACTAATATCTTCATCTTCCTGAGATGAGTCCTTAACAGCCATGTAAACCATTTTTTCTCGCTGCATTCTCCCAACACCTCCTTGTTCAATCACTCCAGCTACAGAATGGCCATTGTGAAAGTCACTCTCAGTGACAATTTCTGTCCCCCCTTTAACAAAAAGAAATAACAAAGTTACACATGTTAAGTAAATGTGAACAAAGCCACCTTTAATTTCACATTTAAGTATTTTTTTCCTATTTACAACAAAACTGTTTTTCCATAAAATTCCAATTAAGTGTTTTTACATTCAGGTCTGTCACAAAACCACACAGGTTTGATACTCCAGAACAGAGGAGGAGAAAGGTCTCTCAGTGTACCCCGAAAAATTCAAACCTGAACAATCCCCATGTCATGTCCTACAAAACACTCCACTCACTGGGTTACGTGGAATAAAGAACAACAAACAAAAACACCCTGAAACTCCTCACACTACTGGAAGAATAAATAGAATTTAAAGGTACCTATTTCAACATCATCTTCAGCTTCAGCTTTAAATATGTACACTTTGATAACTTCCGAGCCAAACCCATCATCTTTGGCAACGTCATCGTTTGCCACCTCGGTGCTGATCTTCAAGGGAGTGCTTCCTATGTGGTCCAACTTCTCCCCAACATCATCCACTGTAACGAGAAGAGAACAATAATGAGGTTCAAACACATTTTTAGAAGTCAAAGTAACCAGCAGCATGATTTTCTCCACTATTCTCCCCATGCACAGTAAAGGTTTGTATTCATAAGTGGCCTTTACAAAACAGCTCAAGGAGATTGCAGAAGTTCAGTATCATTTTGCTGCAACTCAGGAAACACAGCAGGAACTACAGAATGAAGGACACAAGAGGGAGCCTGTCATCAAAGGGAATGAGGCAACTGGTTATGGCTGAAACTATTACATTTAGAGAGCAAAAACGTATCAATAATTACACATCTATCCAATAATGTTAAAAACTAACTCAGAATTCCTGTTACAGTCTAAGAGCCCCCAAAAGTTTCAGTACTCTGACACACTGGTGACTCAGATTTAGTAGCTGAAACTAGTCAAGTGTGATGACTTGGAGTATATTCCCAGTTAAAGTGTGCATCAAAAATCTGACATCTTCTTCCTAAAAGAAATTACGATTTTATCCACTTTATCACTTGAAAACGTATTAATGAAGATTATGGTATAATATAGAGCTGATTAAATGATGCAGTGACAATAAATCCAAATACTGCTATGTGAGATTGACTTCTCATCCTTTATGTACACAACTCGCTCATTATTTGGTCTACATATTGAAAAATGCTCATTGTAGTTGTACAACAAAGAATACATTCAAACTACTAAAAGCAGCACTATTTTGGTAAAAAGGGCATTCTCATAGATGTCCTAAGATTTATCCCAAATTGCCAGCACAAAGGCCACTGAACTAAGCATCTTTCTGACATATGTACCAAGACACTTCTCTTGGGGGATAAAATTAGCTCCTGTGCAGATGGGCAGCACAAACCTGTGCGATGCTCAACACCCACCGAAGGGCTGGAAATGGAGGAGAATTCCACAGAACGGAAACCAAACCTGAATTAAACCCATTCCAGGGAAACAGCAATTTACTGCACACGTGACATTAAAATATGTGTACACGAGTTAAAAAAATGGTGGCAATGAGCATTAAAGTGACAGCAGCTTCCAGGACTCCGTGTGGATCCCAAGGGCTCTGATCCTTGGGGGAAGGTTGGCTCACCTGGGGAGAGCTGGGCTGGTCCCCAGTCCCCTCCCAGTTTCCTGCCCCAGGGCAGTGGTGACAGCTCCCAAGAGCTGCTTTAACCAGCACTGGGCTGAACTGGAGTTACTGGAGCCTTTAACACTCCAGGCAGTCCCACCAGGAGGGTCAGAGCCTGCCAGGGAATGCCCCTCCTGCAGCAGGGCAGGAATCCACCCCAGCAATCCCAAACTAAGCTCTTCCCACTCACAGACAGGATTCCACAGAACACTATCCAACTACCACAGCACTGAGAAACCTCATCTCTGCTTCACTAACCTTGGATTGCAGCACATGAGCACAAAAGTTACTGAGGACACAACTAGACAAAATGTAGGTAAGTACAAGGAAGTATTTCTTTTAACTTTAGAACCTCTGTAAAGTAAGAAAATTAAATGGAAAACACTTCAAAAATGCTGGTTTAGCTGGGGGTTTTTGTATACAACAGGTTAAGTTCAATGCTGAAAAAATACCAAACTTGGATCAGGAGAAAAAAATTAAAAATCTGCTTGGGAAATTGTTTTTTTTTAAATAAAACCCATTCTAAATATCTACTGAAACTGATGCCAGCAACATCATCACCTTAATCTGAGAGAGTCTGACATGTAGTGCATGGTGTTCATGTTACCTGGCAGGACAGAAGAGTCAGACACCAGAGCTGAGAGAGCCACAGAGCCTGGAATATTCCTTTGACACTCAAGTTTACCAGCACCAGGTTATTAGAACACTTTTATATCCACTTGGGAGTGTTACAGCACCTGCTGTAACAAACTGACATTTGTTATGCTGCCATGGTGGAGTTATTAGAACTCCAAAAGGAAAAGTGGAGATGCTCAAATATACTTATATTGGAAAAAGTATTTCCATACATTTACTATGCTTGAATTTATTAAAGACCATTTTCTTTTCTGCAAGGCTTTTATAAAAAGTTTCTTATTGAAGTTATTTATAGAAGTTTCTTATCCATATTCTTTAAAATGATAAATATCTGTTTGATTTTAGTACAATGACCATTTCCACTGCATGTCTGAGTCTTTGAAGGACACAGACTCAACTATGTAAGTAGGATTGTGGGCCAGTGACTGTGCACCACTGTGGAGCTGGTGAAATAATGTAAGAAAAAAAACCACATAATTTCAGATAGTTGCCTTCAGATCAACTGCAATGCAACAAAAATCACGTAAAGGGAAAAAATGAGGATTTTTTCAATTTTTATAGGAATATTTTCAGAAAAAAAAAAATCAAAACATGAATATAGCATGTACACTCACATACTGGGTTCTACGATTTCAAGTAAAGCCCCCAAATCTTCAATATCCTTTAAAAAATGGGGAGTTCTGTCTTAGAGGGGCAAATTTACAACAGTACTTTTAAAATTTATGGTTACTCCCACGCATTAACCATCCTGTGTATATTCAAAGACCTTCAGTCTTTACAATTTCAGCTTAAAAAAAATGGAAACCTATCATGAAGTCTGTGTATCCAGGGCCTCTGGAATGACTTTTCTACAAAAACAAATGTGTAATACAATGAAATTTGGAAAATATAAACTGGACTGAGAAAATGATACCAATATAGACTATTATCTGTAAGATGTGTCTTTTGTTTCAAATACCACCACAACAAAACACAGTGAATTGGCAATTGCGGCTGCTTGAATTGCTGTCTTAAATGAAGGGAATTTCATGGTTTCCATCTACTTTTTAAACACATTTTTTATAAGAGGACAGCAACCAACATAGCAGGACAAGTAATCTTTGTCAGATTAGAAAATGCTACATTTTTAAAAGCAGATCATGAAAATATTCTATTGTCTTAGTAATATGACTTCAATCACCGCTACCCCATCAGTGCTAAATTATCCCTGCTTTTCCCAGGGATGGCTCACAGCAACAGGAATGTTTACTTTCTGTCAATGGAATATCAAAGTGTCCTCCAGATCTGACATCCACCAGAAACACTACGTATTATTATCTTGTCACTTAAAAGTGAGTGAAAAAACACAGCAGAGAACCTTTATAAATATATGCTGAATCCTCCTGAATAAACAAGGTTTAAAGGAAAACTCAGCACAGCTCCAGTGTTAAACTTACCTTCCTTGGCTGTTTTCAGGTGTGTGATGTCCAGATTCACCGTGGATTGCCAGCTCCCAATCCATGTGATGCCTCAGCATGCACTATGCTGGTGATATCACACCCACCACAGGAGCCAGAGGGACAACACGAGGGCAAGATAAGTCCCATGGTTTGACAATTCTCCGTGTTTTTCTAATGTCTGATCTACTTGTGTCCCGTAAAATAGAGGAGTAGGAAGACTAAAATGCTTAGCAAATTATGCAACACTGTACTGTAAGATACTAAAAAGGAGGTGTTGGTGGCACAGTACCTTACCCCCGGGGCCAGCTCCAGGGTGGATCTGTGGTGGGATGGGGGTCACCAGCACAGTGCATGCGGGGCCGGCACACGGGGCGGGGGCTGGCAACCCGCCGGGGCTCTGAATATCGCAAACCTGAAAAACAAAAGAGGGGATGCTTTCAGCTCCAGCCTGCCCACTGCCCCCTGCACACAGGGGGCTCTCACAGCCTGCCCACTGCCCCCTGCACACAGGGGGCTCTCACAGCCTGCCCACTGCCCCCTGCACACAGGGAGCTGTCACAGCCTGCCCATTACCCCCTGCACACAGGGGGGCTGTCACAGCCTGCCCATTACCCCCTGCACACAGGGGGTTCTCACAGCCTGCCCATTACCCCCTGCACACAGGGGGTTCTCACAGCCTGCCCATTACCCCCTGCACACAGGGGGCTGTCACAGCCTGCCCATTACCCCCTGCACACAGAGGGGCTGTCACAGCCTGCCCATTACCCCCTGCACACAGGGGGCTGTCACAGCCTGCCCATTACCCCCTGCACACAGGGGGGCTGTCACAGCCTGCCCATTACCCCCTGTACACAGGGAGCTGTCACAGCCTGCCCACTGCCCCCTGCACACAGGGGGCTGTCACAGCCTCCCTCACCACAGACGGGCTGGCTCAAGAGCCCACTACTGCACTCATTTCCTCTCCATCAAGCTATTCTGATGATTTAAAACCAGGGATTGTGAATATACCCCGCGGTATTCACGCAGAGAGACGTTGTGAAGGTATCAAATGAAGATTTTTACTTTATGCTTATAAAGCTGGTTTAAAAAAAGCTGAATTCATCTGCACTGAGACACAGCAGAGAGGTGATAACTTCGTGAACATTTCCAGTCACAAAGTCATATGCAGGTGGTCACACAACTATCAAGACAAACTTACTGTTCTCCAAATAAAAAATATCATTATCAAAAGTGTATAAAGTGCCTACAAGGGAATGTCACCTCAAAATGGTGAAAAATCACCTTTCAGCAAGGTCCCTTCCAACTAAGCCGTAACTCCCAACAAGTTAAAATTCCACACTCAGCTCGGCTCCATACCCTAAAATGAAGCACTGTGGAAGTTCCCAAACAAGGAATTCTCCAAATGATACACATTCTCCAAATTATACAAATAAACTAATTTCTGTTCCACAGAACAGCTCATGGTATTCCCTAAGGATATTATCTGGCATTTTAAGTCTCCCCTTTTCAGGTGCTAAATTTCATTAAGAGACAGCTAAGTATTTTGAGATTCTTTAAAGCTATCACTTTGATGTGATTTACATAATGAAATAGTTCAACAGCCCTATATGTCCCAAAGGAAATACCATTATGTTCACTTTCTACAATATTTACTGAACATTTGACAAATTAAAAATATAAGTAAATAAAAAGGGTTTTGACCTGCTTGATTTTTTTTGAGGTCCATCTATTCTACACAACAGATTATATTCATATAAAAAAACATATTCAAGGCTAATTTAAAAAAACTTAAAGAAATTCCCCCAAAGTACAACTGCATAAGAATGATTAATTTTTGCTGACAAAAATACAGTAGTAGATACTTTGTGGGGTCAGGCTGCCATACCCAGCACAACACAGCCTCAGAACAGCAGGGACAACAGACCTCATCTGTACCCAGTGTGGCCCAGGGGATCAAGTTTGCAGATGACACCAAGGTGGGGGATTCTTGATGTGCTGGAGAGCAGGAAGGCTCTGCAGAGGGATCTGGACAGGCTGGATCCATGGGCTGAGGACAGCGGGCTGAGGGTCAACCAGACCAAGCGCCAGGTCCTGCACTTGGGTCACAACAACCCCATGGAAAGCCACAGGCTGGGGCAGAGTGGCTGGAAAGGAGCTGGGGGTGCTGGTCAGCAGGGGCTGAACATGAGCCCAGCCAGCCAAGAAGGCCAAGGGCACCTGGGCTGTCCCAGCCATGGTGTGTCACAGCCCCAAGGCAGTGCCTGTCCCTGTGCTGGCACTGCTGAGGCACCTCCAGTGCTGGGGGCACTTCTGGGACCCTCAGGACAAGAGAGACATGGAGGGGCTGGAGCATGTCCAGGGAAGGGAATGGAGCTGGGGAAGGGGCTGGAGCACCAGGACTGGCCGAGGGAGCTGGGGGGGCTCAGCCTGGAGAACAGGAGGCTCAGGGGGGACCTTCTGGCTCTGCAACTCCCTGACAGGAGAGGGGAGCGGGGAGGGTCAGGCTCTGCTGCCAGGGAACAAGGGGAAATGGCCTCAAGCTGTGCCAGGGGAGATTTAGGTTGGATGTTGGAAAAAATTTCTTGCCTGAAAGGGTTGTCCAGCCCTGGTACAGCTGCCCAGGGCAGAGGTGGAGTCCCCATCCCTGGAGGGATTTCAAAGCCATGAGGATGTGGCACTTGGGGACATCATTAGCAGTGGCCTTGGCAGTGCTGGGGTAATGCCTGGACTTGATCTTAAAGGTCTTTCCCAACCTAAACAATTCTATGACTGCCTTAATTTATTCAAATGATTACTTGAAACAAAATCCCAGATGAATAACGTAGCTTCCAACTGTGATTGTTCAGGCACATCACGATTATAAATATTAAATAATTTGCTGAAAACCAGGTTTCAACGTGGCTTTGACACATTGCAAACACCATGGGTGAGTCTGGGAACACCTGACACCAGCAATGTGTCAGACACACCTGAGGCCATCAGGAAGTTTAGGATGCTCTGTTTGAAGTGCAGTGATCACCAGCATCAATGACACTTTCTCTGTCTCAGAAGGAATTCCAAAGAGGGCTGTACTTACAATTACAAGGGTGCAGTGGAAATAGCGCAGTTACAGAATAACAAGTCAGCAAGTACTCTGTCAGAAAGGAGGAATTTGTTCAGTGAAACAACTGACTGTGAATATGGTGCTCCTTTAGTTACAAAAACACACAGGATTTTTTTGTTGTAGGTCTAAATTGCTTTTGAGGTTCATTTTTTTAGTTCTTTTTCAAAAAAACCCACCTTCTACTAGTGATGGTATTACAGTAATGATACAGTGCTTTAAAAATCATTGCTGTTCATCCCATACTGAATAAGTATCAAAAAGTATTTTGTATAAGGGACATAAATGCTATGAAAGATTGAAATCATAATCATGAATCAGTTGTGTCCTCTGTCATGAAATTTTTAATAAATGCAGCTCGTTGTGAACAGACTGACACTTTGACACACTTGGCATTGACTTTTTTCAACATATTGCTTCTGACTAAAATCTGTTTTGATCTACTCACATTTCAACAACTGATTTGGAGAAGTCAAAAATTATAAAATTAACTATCATACATTTTATCAAATTTGTGTAACAGTAACAACTGGTACCTTGGGTATAATTTAACCACCGGGGAAACACTATACACTCAAGGTCCTTTCAGCAGCTTGCACTCAACAGGTAGTAGAGGACCATACAACTTCCTGGAGTTAATGCTGTGTGGGAACTGCAATGGGAAGCCACTTCCCAGTATTAATGAGCCAATCAATTAATGCACATGACTCCCTAATGCCAGGTTCAGCCCAAAACAGCACAACAGACAATGAAATGCCGATTATAATTTTTAATACACTAAACAAACTGTATTTTGTGGACACACCGAGAAAACTTTTGAGAGTCGGAGATCTTAAAACCCTATTTCTTTGTGGATTCTCCTGATTAAACCCAACATGCTATTTTTACAGGAACCTGCATAACATTGTAATATACCTGTGGATTTTTTTTAAAATCCACGTACTCAAAATAAGCAGAATGTTTAGCTTTCTGAGGTGTTTTCCTTCATTTCCTGGAATATCTAGTTTCAGAAACACAAACACACACACACTCACTCGACAGCATGAATGTCCTTCTCTTTCTTGCTGTATCACCAATAAGGGATTTTGCACCAAAATACCCCAAGAATGAACAGGGCACCAGCCAAAGTGAGCATTCCAGGATGGAGTGAAGCAAGAGTCCAGATACAAAAACTTCTCCCCACCAGACACTTCTACTCCAGCTACTGCCTGTTTGTATGTACCTCTGGTGAACTTACAAGAGATCATTAAGTAGTCTTCAGATGTGCTCTTGCCATCATCGTCATCCTCTGTTTTGATGGTCACTGTGGAGCCAGGCACAGTCCCAGCTGCCTGGATGACCGCTTCCGAGTCCGAGTTCGTCACCAGGACCTCCTCCGACACCATGGTCGGGGAGGTGGCTCCGGACACCGAGTCCTGCACCACGTGCTCCAAGTGTCCCTCGGGACCCGTGACCAGGTCGGCCACGAACACCTGGTCGGGCACTCTGACGGTTTCCGTGATTAGGTCAGAGGTCAACACGTGGTCAGTGGTGTCCAAAGCCTCTTCGATGGCCACGTCAGCCTCCAGCACGGAGTCGGGCACGATGACCCCCTCCGTGACAACGTCGGTTTCCGTGATGATGTCGGGCCCCTGGACAACCTCGGCTGCCAGGCCGTGATCCAGAGTGATCCCGTCATCCGTGACGACATCGGACACCAGGACAGCTTCGGGCACGGACACCACAATGTGGTCTCCATCGATGTGGGCAGTGCCAGCCATTCCAGCCACTGCGGAACAAGGACGAGCCAGGAGAGAAACGTTACAATCGTTGCACCAGGAACTGGTTTATGTAAGGAATGGAATTATCAGAGACAAGTTACACACAGATAGAAGAATCTGTTACTTCTCAACATCCACATTATCCAAAGCAGCCCGTATCCTTTAAATTAAGAAAAACAAAACATACCACTTCAAGATATAATGTGGAGTTTTCCCCAAATTTAGGTCTTTTAATACTGATCTGTTAAAAACTACAGGCCAGTTTATAATTTAGACTTTTTTTTTTTTATTCCAGTTAGAAAACATTTAATTACAGTAGCAATTTGAACATTCACAGAATTCTTGCATGAGGATGGAAGTGTGGTGACAAACCATTAATTGCTGCTACAATAAAAGGGCTCTTCATCCTTTAGATTGCATGGGCCTTGAGAAAAATAAATGCTCAGTTGTATCCAATATTTATAGTACAGTTTCCCACAAGTTGCCACATCACAAGGAAGGGCCGGAGGTAGAAACCTGGTTTTCATTAACAGACTTGACTGGCTGACTACTTTTCTAGACATAACAAAGAATGTACAGTGAATTATTTTAACACACACATAAATAGCAATTTTAATCTTAATGAACAAAACACTCAAGAAAATGATTCTTATCAGAATAAAAAAAAACCCTGGCATTATTCAGTATTGTACTGCAAATGCAATTATCTTGGTACACTCTGAGGGGTATTAATTCATGTTAGAACAAAGACATGGTCCTTCCTGAGAAGGTCATCTCCTGGATTTTACTCATTATTTTTAATAGTTAAAATGTTTACCAAAATCCTGCATAATCATAGTGTGAGGCATTTTGGATTCTTGTGTTTGCAATCCCAAACTTCCGCCACCTGGATCCATATTCAGCTAAGTGCATTCACAAATAACTGCAATAAAACAAAAAGGAGAATTTATGGTCAGCAACGTTATTGTGTTATCGGCTTTACTGGATTAATGTGTCACACTGACACACACAGAGAAGTATTTACCCAAAAATGCAAGAAAAACACAAGCAATACTTTGTACAATCCAGTTTGCTTTATTATTTTGCTTTCTATCTTAAGCATAATAATATATATTAGCTACTGTGCACAAAGAAGTCACCTTTGCTCTGCCTGTCTGTCTGTCTTGAGGATGCTGAATCTCATTGTTGAGGCACAACTACACAAAGTCACTTCCAGAGCAGGAGAAAGCATGTTAGACAGAGTGTTTCCACAAGACAGCAGGATAAATCAGCATTCCAACATGCTATTTGCATTGCTCCTAAATACTGAAGTGTGGGGAATCTGAATTATTTTGCAATTTGCTGCAACCCAATAAGTTGGGTTTCTACCCAAGATCTCAGTGCAGATGAAATGGCTCCAGGTCACACAGAGCTCAAGGTTTTCCCAGGTGAAAAACCTGTGGCCAAAAAAATTCTCTGTTGCATAAGATTAAAATCTTGTACTTTCCTGCCCTCTTGTATCCAAGAGTCAGGAAAAAGTGACAGTATCACACCGAAGACAGTTTTGGGAGCTGTTGGAAGTGAACAGAGAGTAAGAGCTGAACTCAGAACCACATGAACTGGGTGGTGCAGAGAGGAACGGGGAGTGCAAGTGCTTTTGTGAGTCTCAGAAGTATAGTCCTTTCACTGTTGTAGCATCAACCTCGACTTTGCTCTTCTGGATCTCATAAAAAAAATTACCATTACCCTAGCACAAGAATTGATTAAGTCTAAGCATTGAAATCTAAACCATGATGGAAACTCCACTGACTTTGGGGTAGAACACATCTGACAGCCCCACTGCAATGAGATCCACCCCAGGAGCCCAGAGCCAACACCGGCCAAGGAAGGTGGACAATAAAATAAGCCAGGCTGTAAGAATAAAGGCTGAAGTGCCCAAAACCTGAGATACCTCTAAGGCAGAATCATGGGACCCCCCTGAACTCTTCCAGCAAAGGGAGCAGCAAGTGGTGCCCAGAGATGGTAATTTCAAGGGGAAGCCACTGATCCACCCCAGAATATGAGAGTGAGAACACAAAAGAGCAAAGAACTTGCATCCCCTGACCGTGTGCTGTCAACCTTTCAACACTTCCTCCCTAAATCATTTACCAAACCTACTTCTCTCAAATTGGCTTTAAAGCTCCAGCACTAACTTTGGGGATGATGAGGTAACAATCCTTCTAGCAGAACTACAACAATTCCCCAATGGAATTCCCTGATGGTGCCATAACAGAGTAAGTCGGGTCCACAGATCAGATAATAACATAAACACAAATGTGAAACATTATCAATAAGGAAAGTTGTCAAGGATTTTACTAACTCAATTCTGCTCCAAAATCAAATTCTTTCACCATTTTAAGGATTACAAAGCATCTTCAGAACCTCAGTGCAATGCTCCATCACTCCCAAATTATGGTCACAGCCATCTGAAATTCCTACAGTAGCAAATGAATACCTGCTAGTACAAAATATGACACAGTTCTAGAACATAAATGGCTAATTTAATGTAACTATCCCAGAATTAATGCAATGCTCCAGCATTTCCTGACCACAGCCTTTACACTCAGTTAATCCTTCTTTTTTAATGTAAATGGATATGAAAAATTATCTTAAATTATATCAACCTGAGGTTGCAGGAAGAATATGCCAGACTCTTCTTCCTTTTTTTTCTTCCTTATTTTCAGTTAAATAGATGCACAACCAAATTACATATTGTGCTACATGAAAACATTCAATACAAAGTAAGACTATAATTTAAATTTAAATGCCTGCAAGGAAAGCAATATCACTAACATAATCATTTTCCCAGTAGTTAGCAGGACTAGAAAAATTCCCAAAGTCATGGGATGGCACCTTCTGTGGATGGAGTACTATGAATCCCTTAGCCTTCCCCTAAAACCAGAGAGGAGGATGACACAGTGGCAACAACCACACTGAAGCTGTACCAACCCTACTGAAGTCTGATCTTCTAAACCCTCACTGCAGACAAAGGATGGAGCTGCATCAACCATACAACCACAAATGTATTTGGTATATCCACTTTGGGGTTTTGCAGGAATGCAGTGACAACAGGAAGAGCCCTTCCTGCTAAAGCTAGAAGAATCCCCCATGGATAAGGCCCAAGATTCCCCCCCAGGAGGGTGGGTTTGCTGCCAGGTTGCAGCAGTGCAGGAGATGCAGTTTCCCAGCCACATATGCAGGGAAACCTTGTTATTGGGAAGAGCAAAAAAATGCAGAGCAGTGATTAACTGTGGTTCTTCACAGCTTCCTCCTGTAGTACACCATGTTACACACCCACACAATCCCAGACGGATCCAATTGTGGGTTTCCAGCAGAGAAATCAGGCACAAAGCCACAATTCCATACATAATCCAAACTTATCCATTCCTCTCTCGCCTCTAACTAGTAACATCTCAAGCTTTTCCTCTCAATTCCCCTTCTCCTCTGGGTATTTAACACAGTGAAAACACTTGATTAGCATCAGCCAATAAAATATTCACTTTACAACCTTCCATTAATATTTGCATTGATTTTTTTAATTACAGCATGTTATCCTGACCCGGGAAGGAGCACGTTCCCACCAGATCCCAAAATGAAGTATTTCATGAAACCTACACTGAGACTGCCAAAGCAGTGTCTCAATGTTAATTTTTTTAAAATATGTCTCTATCTAAAGTGGTTTTGCTTTTCTGAAAAACAACAGTTCTCTTTCTAATGAGCTTGAGCTGATTTCAACCTATTTCACTCTTTATGCCAAAGCTCTTGCTTAGGACAGGGCTCAGCTGAGACAAGCAACGAATCTGAAAGCAGAAGAAAGGGAAGGGATATCTGACCTCTCTGTCTACAGACAGGAACACCACTGTAAATTACTCCTGCATATGGCATTTTTAAAAATTAAAGACAATGGCTGGCAGTTTGGGATGACCTAAGAACACACAACAGCAACACTCAACCGAAAAGCTGGCAGAAGTTCCCGGCAAACACACTGATCTATTCTTAGCTTACCCTTCCTATAAAAATATCATAACCATTAATATTTTAATTTTTGAGAAAGTTTAAGAAAACACCCTAAATGGAGAGATCTTCAGCAAAGCATTTTAAGGAGGAGGGATAAAAACCATTGCTTCAGGACACACGGGGTGTCATTTGTGTACCCATGGGTGCAAGGAAGCTCCCAGTTCCTACCCTGGCTTCCAGGCATTGCTGCCCTAATTAAAACATATATAACACGAACAACATTTCTGCAAAATGCCACTTGCTACTTAAATACAGGCTCTTATTTATGTAGAGTTATGAATACATTTTGTTATACCCTAAACAGTGTGGTCCTGTAAATGTTAAGCATCTCCCCAGTTTACACATCTGATTATTCCCAGTATGTTCAGGTGATGCCTTTTCACATAAAGCCTAACTGCATGGTCAGCCCTTACTCTCTCCTTTAAAGGAGTAGATTTCTTCTAAGTAATATTATTACGTAGAATATATAATATTATTTCCTCTAAGTCATATTATTATTTCTGCTAAATAATATTTAGGTCTTGTTTACATGTTCTAAAGGAAAATACACCACCGTGCTTTGTTGGTGTTTTGGATATTCACAAGCTGCGTAAGATTTTGATTAAACCAAAAGGACCGGGCTCAGATACAGAGCAGCGGAACAATAAATAAACCAACGTAACAATAAATAAACTTATACGCAGTTGAAAAACACAAACCAGATGTTTTGTAGTCATCTTATTTCTTAAATAACATTTAACTTGAAAAAGAGAATTATCTTCCTCCTATGACACTTCACGGTTTGGGGATTTTCCCCCTAATTTTTAATGCAGCAACCAACAGAAACGCAGCAAGAAAACCTTAAGCAGAAAACCCAATTAATAACATACGGTGCAGGTTAACACAGACTCTTCGCAGAAAGGCTATGAAAAACCAACATATCCATTTAAAGATCCTTTATTGTGTCCACCTACAAGGCACCCAGGAGAACTTATACTCTAAAACCATTTAAAACGACACAGACAAAACCAGCGAGCGAGATTTTGTCTCGCTGCCTAAAACGCGCTAAAACGCTCGTAACAAAAAATAATAAATAAAACAAAACAGGACAAAAAAAATGTACATCCGCGGCAGCAACAAAACTTCCCCTGGTAAATAAAACCACAGTGACGGACGCGGCTGTTTGAGGGCCGGGGCTGCCGGTCCCCGACGGCACGAGCGGATCCCGGCGCATCCCTCCCTCCTTCCCTTCTTCCCTCCCTCCCTCCTCCCGCGCGTGCCCGGCGCGGGCGCGCCCGCGGTGTCGCGGGGCGGGGGAGGCGGCGGAGCGAGCGCGGGGACAAAGGAGCGGGAGTCCCGCGGCCGCGCGGGCCGAGGCGCGGGGATGGCGCCGGGATAGCCCCGACCCGGCGGGAATAGCCTCGTCCCTGCGGGATCGCCCCGTGCCCCGGCGCGGAGCCGCGGCCTCCCCGCCCCGCGGGCCCGGCCCGGCCGACATCTTGTGTTCCGCCATTTTCTGCCCGCCCGCGCGGCCCCTCCGCCGCGGGGCCCGCCCGCACCGCCCGCCCGCCGCGGCACCGCCGGGCCCGCCCGGGGCTCCGCCGCCCGCCCGCCCGGGGCCGCCCGCGGCCCGCGGCGCCCGCGGCGGGGGGCCTGGAACGCGGCCGGCCCGGCCCCGCCGTCCCCGCGCCCGTGCCCCGGCTCACCTGTGCAGGCCCGGGGTGCGCCGGGCCCGCGGGACTCGGCGCTGGGGCCGGGCCGGGCCTGGGCCCGCTCCGCCCGCAGCCTGGGCCGGGCGGCGGCCGCGAGCGCGCGCGGCCCCGCTCCGCTCCCCGCGCACGTCACGCGCGCCCCCGCGCGCCGAGCAGGCGCAGCCGCCGCCGCCCCCTCAGACCCCCCCGCGCCCCCGTCGCCGTGAGGGGCAGCGAGGGGGGACCGGGCGGGACCCCGCACACACCCCGGGGGGACCGCGGGGTGACCCCGCACACACCCCCGAGGGGACCGGGCGGGACCGCGGGGTGACCCCGCACACACCCCGGGGGGACCGCGGAGTGACCCCGCACACACCCCGGGGGACCGGGCCAGACCGAGAGGTGACTCCGCACACACCCCCTGGGGGCACAGTGAGAGCATGACGGGGACCCACCCCCCAGACCTGTTCCCTGGAGGGCAGTGAAATAATCTCCTGAATAAAACACCCAACCTTTAAATAGCCCAGAGCATGGTTTTGGTTCTGTGGAGCTCTTTTATCAGCATGAAACCCCTACTTTTTTTGTTAAATGTGAGATTCTATATGAGGTTGAAACAATAGTATTTTAATATATAAAAGTAGTTAGGATACAGATATGAACCTTTTCATGACAAGCATAAGAACTTGTTTTGGGAACAAGCATAAGAACTTGTTTTGGGAACTTTGTATTCCTGTTTGTCACAAGATTCAGAGCCTGCTGTACAAATATGAGCAAAGGAGGACTGGGGCAAGGCTTGGCACACCTTTTATTCATTGGCAGCCAGGGAGAAATCCAGACTCCAGAGCTGCGTTTCCAGGTAGTTTGCAGTGTAAAGGCAGAAGTGGATCCCTGAGAAATGTGACCTCAAACCCTCGGGTGTTGAGTAGGGGATTGCTTAGACACACCTGGGGCAGTATGGGGTGACCCCACCATGAGCTGGCACTGTGCCCAGGGACCAGGAGGGACAATGGGATCCTGGGGGGCATCGAGATCCTGCCCCTCTGCTCGGCCCTGGTGAGGCACATCTGGAGAGCTGTGTCCAGTTCTGGGCTCCTCAGCACAAGAGAGACAAGGAGCTACTGGAGAGGGTCCAGCAGGGGCCACAAAGATGATTTGGGGTCTGGAGCATCTCTCTTACAAGGAGAGACCGTGGGAGCTGGGCCTGGTCAGTCTGGAGGAGACTGAGATAGGATCTCATCAATCCATACAAATATCTCCAAGGCAGGTGCCAGGAGGATGGTGCCAGACTCTCTTCAGTGCCCAGCAACAGCATGAGGAGCAATGGCCATAAACTAAAACACAATAAGTTCCACCTCAACATGAGGTAGAACTTCTTTCCACGAGGGTGGCAGAGCACTGGAACAGCTGCCCAGGGAGGGTGTCAAGTCTCCCTCTCTGGAGACATTCCAAACCCACCTGGACATGTTCCTGTGTCACCTGCTCTGGGTGACCTGTCTTGGCAGGGGGTTGGACTGGATGATCTCCAGAGGTCCCTTCCAACCCCAACTATTCTGTGACTGTTGGGTGGCCCCACCATGTCCAGGGGTCTCCACGGGGGCAGAGCCGTGTGGGTGGGATCACCTGAGCCCCTGTCACGGACCCAGCACGGCAGTGGGAGCTGAGGAGTCCCATACCAGCACCATGGATATGTGACAGCATTGCCTTATCTCTTCCTCCTATTCCTTTTCAAAGCAGTGGTGGAATATCAAACTGAACACTCTTGAATCCTGTGGTCACTCTGAGGTTGGTAAAACAGCTGGATCGAGGTCAACAACAACCACAGTTTGTCAGATTGTGGCACTTCCCGAGGCTGAGAAGGGACAGAGAAAGGCAATTCACTGACACAATTCTCTGACACCTTCAGATCTAAATTTCTGAGGTCAAAAGGGCCTAAACTGATTGCCTGGGATCTAAACAGATGTGCCAACACCATTTCTGAGTGTTTCTGAAGATAACAGAGAGGCAACCATTCTCACTTCTCTTATTTCTGATAGAAATTGAAAACCAGCTGGATGACAGGAGGATGCTGTTACTGAACACGCCTATTAAAGGACAGTGGGAGACAAGGAAAAGCAGGGCCATCCTTCCCTCTTCCTCCTCTAGTGACTCCAGCACAAGATGCTGCTTCAAGCTGGCTCTGCAGGTGTTACCACTATGAACATTCAGCTTCTTTGTGCTTTAACCTGCAACTAAATTCTCAACACTTATAAGCACAAGCATTACTTTAAGCTGGCTGCACTCTCAGAAGACATTGCAATGCAGGTTTGCAAGCAGTCCACGTCCAGAAAATCTTTGGATTCTTTTTGATGAATTTTTGTGCCTGTGATTTCAACTATCCATGAGAAGTTCCTCTGAGAGCATTAGTGATTTAACAGTTGGCAAATCTGCCCTCAATAGTTTCAGACTGTTGTGAAAGCCAGTGGGTATGCCTGCTTTGGGTATTTGTGACTTTGGGGGAAAACCAAAAACCAAACCAAACAAAAAAAACCCCAACCTTTCTAAAAACTTCATGATTCCGGTTTTGCCATATACTTTCACATATTAGCTAACACTAAGGAAAAGTGTTCTAATATAAATCTCAATATAATGCGCTTCAGACTTTTTGGAAAATGGGAAATAAATCCAGGACTTCAGCCTCTTTAATTTGTTAGTGGCAAGGTAGTCAATCTTCCACAGCTTCATTTATTTTCATCATTTACAGAAAAAGTTACAAAGAAAGCCATGGCAGTTTTAAAGGCAAACTCAGAATTATATGTAATTTTTTGTTTTCTTTCTTTAAATATTGGCCTTTAAGGGGAAAAGCAAAGCAATGTCAGTCAGGGTACAGCAGGCTCTACTTGCTACAATGCCCTGAAGAATCTTCAAAATTAGAGCTAAGAGAAATTCATGGCCCTGTAAACAGCATGAGTGTCTTCTGAGGCAGCTTCTTGTGACAGGGACTTCTTGTCATTTAGGCACAGGGCACGAGGTTAATCCCAAAGAACCTGTGTCCCAACAGATGTGCAACCACCTCAGCAATACTGAGCAGCAGCTCTGGGAACTGTAATGTCAGGTGTTCACAAAGAGTTGTCACCAATTGCAGAGTAAACAATCAGGTGCTAAGATCATGTAATATCATGTTTTGGTTTATAATTATCTTCTGTACCTTTTCTTTGCAATAACTTTTAGTGCTTTCTAGTAGTGATGGCCAATTCCTCTGTGTCCCAATCCACAGGGTCTCACTGCTCTCTCAGCATCTGGATTACCCAGTGATCAGCAGCATTCCAAGATATTTCTGATATAGAGAGCACTTGTTCTTAGTATCTCTGTAAAGATATTAGAATTAAATTAGTAGCATGACACACCCTCCTGCTTGCTATTAAAATAATTGATCTAATTAAACTGCATTTATATGTATTTCTTTTGTTAGTATGTGCTGCTCCTGAGTGTGCACTCACCAGGAGCTTTGGGAGGTGATTTTCACGCAAATAACTGAATGTATTAGGACTGTGTCCACACAAACTGAAACAGGTTTTGAAATATTTAAAAACATTTCAGCAGGGTCAGTTCCTGTAAAATTCCTGAAGAAAACACCCGCATAGGAAAAGGTGGCTTCGATTTCTATTTAGTACCATATAGATAAATAGTCTATATGCATAGGTATGTAATTAGTATGCATAGGTATGTAATTAATATGTACCTGATATTGTCTGCCCCCTGCATAATCTGCAGGAGGCAAATTCTTTCTGGGATAGTCAAATCCTTCCCACTGGGGCCTGGGCAGAGAGAAGCGGTCTGTGGTTGGATCTGGTCTCCTCGGGGGCTGAGAATACATGGAACTGTGCAAAAGAGAAAAAGGGTATTAAAAACCTGTGTTATAATACCCTGCAAATTGCACAAAGTGTTCCTTTAAACTGAAATGTAAAAATATTAAAGCTCACTACTGCATTGAGGCAACACCTCTGCAAAGCTTGCAGGTAGGAGCTGCAACAGTTGGCTGGATAATGGGGAGGGTCAAAGTGAGGAAGCACAACCAAGGAAAGTGTGTTTCTAAAAGTAATGAAAAGGAATATGTTTGGAATTATAAGAGGAAAACCATAGAAGCCCCTGGGTAAATCAGTACTTTAGGATTTATGTATGGGAGTGTATGTGAATAGTCCAGTCAAAAGCTTTGCCATTTACTGGACCTTTGTTGGTTGCTGTGCCACTGGCAAAGCTACAAGGTCATTCTGAGTCTCCAAGCCAAAATATAAAGTGAAAATGAGAAAAAAAATACAGAAAAAGAGCAGCATACCTGTAATTCCCTCTTTGGCTTGGGACTGAGATTTCATCAAAATCTTGTCTTCTCAGTGAAGTTTTTGGAATTTGTCCACCCCAGCCATCCTGATCCTGATGGAGAGGATCAGGTGGTTACACAGAGCAAAACGACAACAAATGACAAACCCCAGCTCACCAGGTACAGTGTGTTGGAAGTTATAAACCAGTCTAGCACTTACAAAACATAATGTTTGTTATATTCACATTTTCAAATGTATAAATTCAATTTATCTAAAAGACTCAGTAGAGAAGTCTTTATAGACTATATATTATATAGTCTATATAGATATAACAGAGGAACACCCACCCAGGTGAGTCTTTGCACAATTAAGTAAACCAGTTATTAACCTCGAAAACAGCATTAGCTGAACCAAATTCTGAACTAGTTCAAAATTAAACAGCACCATCTCCTGGTGAAGGCAGGATAAGGCTGCTGCATTGCCAAGATAATGATGCTTTACAGATAGATTTAACAGAAAATAATGGATCAGAATAGATTCCTTTCTTTCTTTTCTCAGGCAGCCCACAATGTATTCTTGTCACACCCTGTACACTCCTTAATATGTAAAATAATCACCTGAACTACTGAATGAGCAAATGAACACACACAAATATATTCCCTTTTGTTTCTTTTTATTTCATGTTGGTTTTTAACTGCATTTATCCATCTTTTCCATTAGTTCAAGCAATGATCTCTACTACATCTTGTCTAATGGAGAAAACTGGCCCAGCAGAGGGTGACCCTGGCCCAAAAGGCAGCAGCTGGTCCTCTGGGGACCAAAACTCAAATCCCAGCTCCATCACAGACTACAAAGGTGGTCCTATAAAACACTCTACTCTGTCTCACAGGAATCTTGAAGAGTTTCACCTTCTCACGTGCATTCAGCCGATCTTGGAAATCAAATACTGGGGAGATTTTAAACCTTGAGTACCTTTATTTTACCAGATGACCTTTTCTTTTTGTTATTCATATACTATTCTGAATCACACCCCCCTGCCTGGCTCCCCCAGCCCCAGGAACACGTGGTGTGCCCCCCCTCTCTTACCCTGGGTGGCTGTGGGTACCTGTGCCCCAGGTGGGCAGGTGTGTCAGCACTGAAGGCAGGGTTGTGCTGTACCTCAAGGTAGGGTGAGTTTGGCTGCTTCCTGCAGGGGGGAACAGTGGGAATTTAGAGTATGAGCAGTGCTGAGGGTCTTGACAAATCTTTTTGTCCTGCAGATTGGTTCAACAGCCGTGGCACAGCTTCAGATGACCTGTGGCAGTGGCTGTACAAGAGCTATGTATTATTACAGCTCTTCTATGACACTGGGGCTCAGTGAAAGAAAAAAACCCATACTGTCTATGTACTTGGGAGAGGTATCAGTGGGGAAAAGTGTTGGAAGGAAAAAGCAGCTCCAATTGCCAAAGTCGGAGACCAAAGAACAGGAGGAACTGAGTTTAATCGCCCAAACTCTTGCCAATGTTTTGGCCTTGTTCCTTTTTTACTAAACTTGTGGAAAGCAAGCCAATCCTTAAGAGCAAATAAATCACAAAGACACATCTGGTAGTCTCGAGTTTAAGTAGCAAATGGACTTATCAATCTTTAAAGCTTGTCTGGTAAGCCCTAAAGAAAAAAGGCAATGACTCAGAGTGAAGTTCTACACGCAGTAGTAAAATGCTGAGTAAGTGTTGAGTGCTCAGGGAAGACGCTTTGATTTAGTTTTAAATTGTACAAACATTTATTTTGGCAGAGGATGCTCCAGGGCAACTTTGTCCATTTAAATATCCAGAGGTTAAAAATTAACCAGAATACCAGACTCCTTTTGCTTTCCTTCCACATAAAACCCCTTCTATCTGCACCCAAAGTCACTTACCCAGGTTTTTCACTTTTACAGCAGTAGACACAGGAAAATATTACAGTCACTATGATAACCAGTGTTACTGCAGGAACAGTAGCCACTAAAATGAAATCTAGAGTGTTCCAAAGGTGGTTACATTTGGGGCCCATGTACCAGTAGTCCTTCCAGCCCACTCTGAAGTAATCACATCTGCAAATAAAAATACTCATTTTCAGCAACACCATTTTAATTCAAAAGTAATACCCAAAAAAAGGTAAAATATTTTGCTATATAATTTTTTATTACTGAATACAGGGGCCAAGAGATTCACTACTTTTCCAGTTTGCCTGAAGGTGTTACTTTTCTTAGTAACACACATCTTTTTCCAGATTTGATGCAAAAGCACTTTGCCAGCTTCTGGGGCAACAAGTCCAGGCTGGCATTTCAGGAGGAGATAATAAGCTTTTCTGGGAACAGGGTGCAGTACCCAAGTCATGGCATGACTGAGGGCAAAGATCCCTGTGCCAGCTCTAAGCATGACAAAGGTGCTGAATTTCCAGACTCTGCAGATGTAAGTGAAACGTGACAGTGATATCTGTCATTACGACACTGATTTTTTAAAAGGAAAAAAACAACTGTGTAATGGAGAATAGAACATTAAAATATCCTATTTGGGGTTTTTTAACTCTAAAGAAAATTTGATCAACCTGGGGAAAAAAATGAACGTGCCATTACGCAGATAATGCAGTTCTAAAGTAAAATATCTGAGACAAGAAAGAGCATGTGAAAATTAAGGATTATAGTGATTACCTACATTGGGAATTACTTGTTTTTAAAAAGAAAACTCTGAGCCCAGATGCTTTGTACCAGAGTTATAAACTTATGCAGATTGTGAATGAAGATCAACATCTACTTTCGTGGATCACATTGCAGGGTCTAAATTTAGTTCATCCTCAAGAATATATTTGACATTTACATGGTGTATATTTAAACAAACCAACCCCACACCCTACCTGCAGAAAGGTTCTCCATTTTTACACAGACAAGGAAAATGACTAGGACAGAATTGAGTTGTGTTACCCAGGCAGGCCTCAAAGTCCTCAACTCCACTGCAGTTGGCTGTGAATTAAAACAAATCAAGTACTTAATGCAATTATCCGGTAACATACTGTCACTGGGCTGGATTGCTAATGGCACCAGAAATTTAAGCTTCATGACATACTCTAGATGATACTAAATCTTACTTTCCAGTGCCTTGCCCCTGGAAATTTTTGAAATTATTTGAGAAATGAAGATTTACCAGCTTAAATTACTTTACCCTGAATGTGCACCCATCTCCCAGCTGCCCAGTAAATTGTGTGTTATGATGATTTTTATCACATCGTTTAAGTGTGGTTGTACCTGAATTCCACTGTGTATTACCTCTGGATTGCTGGCAAAGGCTGAAAGTCATGAAATCCATTTGAGATTCCAACCTTCTAATTATAATCCCAATTAAAACCTTTGTGTGTGTTTTGCATTGGGATTATTCCTCATTTTGGCCTACAAAAGGATCTGGTTTGTGTTAATTCAATTCTCATCTGTCTCCTTTGCTGTGTAAACATTGTGGGCTGTAAATCATGATCCAGAAGCTGAGTGTTTACATATCCACAGGTGTGTGACTGGCTAAAACACCTTCCTCAGCAGCCTTAGGCAGACATCAAACATCACCAGGTTTGTCCCTCACACCCTGCACTCTTTGCTACCTGTTTCTCTCCCACGTAGGACTTGGACTCAACACCAAACAACCACCTGAATACTCAGAAAAAGCCCCAAAGAGCCAACACAGCTGAGTATAGCTTGTCATAACTGTTCCCAGTGAGAGGATACACATTTAGAATGAAGCCAGAGAGTCAGAACTGAAAGATCTCTGGCCAGATCCTTCCGAGCCCCCCAGAGAACTGACTGGAAGCAAGGAGTATCAGAGCATCCCTAATGTTGCTGCTTTTGTCAGAGGGATTTCACACCACGAACAGGGGCACTACAAACTCCTGACTAAAGCATTATTAGCTAGAGAAACTCTGCTCTGAGCAGTCTTGATTTCAAAAAGAGGTGGGAGAAGCCTCCTTCCTCCCCAGTCTCCAAGGCAATCTAATCCAACATTTCCTGCTAACCAGAGATAAATCTAAATGATTACACAGTGAATCAAGGCTTGCATTTGCACAAATCTATTTTCATGTACTGCAGGCCTTTCTCTCAAAAGGGCATCAAGCACTGAAGCATTTTCCAAGACAACCTCAATACAGATCCCATGTTACGCCTATAAAGCACAGAACAATGAAGTCTCAAGTAGCATTTGGCATGGCTTAGGAGATAAGCAACAGTAACATAATCACAATTCTTTTAGCAATGTTTCAAAAAATACTAAGGGAGCAGAAAATAACCAGCTGTGACTGTGCTGGGGAGAGAGGGAGTGTGTGCCCTAGGACACTAATGCTCTAATATTCCATGTCATTGAGGAACTCACTGCTGAGCCCTTCACAGGACTCGAGTCTATATAAATGCAAAGTTAGCCTTCAAGTGGGAACTTTTTTTGGTGATTGAAAGGCTAAAGTAGCAGAAAAAAATTCCCCAGATCGCAAATGAAAACTAGTAACTAGACAATAGTACCTGCAGTTGGTTTCCATCACTGTCAGGTTAGTGATACCTGGTTACTAGTAACTGGTAGCTACCAGGTAAAGAACAGTGATGATAAAATAAATAAATGTATAAAATCAATCAGTAGAAAATCCTCCTATTAAAAAAACCCCTGACCAGTACTTTATACTATAAGAGAACCAGAGACAATTCCATATTAATTAGCTTCGTATTTAAAACTACTTTGCTTTCAATGCATTCTTGTTGTCATGCTCTTAATTACTGATGATTTTCTCTGTATCAAAAAATCTAAGAATACTTGTTCTCAAAAGAATGTGTAATTCTTTAACCTCTATACAAAGTATTCCTACTGAAAAAGAACCAAGGCATTCAACTCTTTTAAAAACATCCTTTTGACATGGAGAGACTGACTCAAAATGATTAAAAGCCACCAGGACCCTGAGTATTTTAGTTGTAACTCATATGGTCGGGACCTTTTTGATGTGCAGAAGGACAGAGTAACAGGTGAAAGCCAGAGCACATTTAGGTCTCTATAGAATATGCCCTTGGCAGCACAGAACTCAAGAATTATGACACCACACAGGAAGGCAGCTGTCAAAGGTCTCCCCATTTACATTGTTTTCCTGTTATTTAAAATAAACTCCACTTAAGGCACAAGGAGAATTCCCATTGGGACTGCAGTGCCACAGCAGCACTCCCACAGTGGATGGACATGGACACACCCCTGTCCTGACAATCAAATAAAATCCCACCATGTCTTACGTTTTAGAGCTCCTTTTTCACCCAGGGATCTGCTGGCCAGGAACAGGACACAGAGCAAGACTTCCAGAAAGGACATCCTGGAGCCAACTGGGATAAAACACTGGTTCTTCCAGACTCTGCCAGCAGCAGAATGAGCTCTCCTTTCTGCTACTGTAGCAGAGTCAAGGATCATGGATTTTGAGCTTGTTTTACAGCATCCTTCTCTATGAAGAATTACTAATTAACTTAAAGCTGATAGAAACCTCCTGATAACTTATCCAGCATATTTTCTTTTACGAAAACTGGGTAGCTCCATAAAAATGTCTCATTAATCTTGCTACCTCTGAATTTTTGAATACATAATGTAAAGTATTCATTTAAGGACATAAGTTTCAACAGACTGAGGTATCTGTCAGGAGCATTTATCTACTCTCCTTTTAGGGTTGTTACCTTTTACAGATAACACACTTGGAATGTATTTGAAGACAAAGTTCCTGGAACAGATACTGTTTTTAGAGACATGCCAAAGCCATGATCCTGAAGCCAACTAACAGGGATGAGACAGGAGCCAGGAGGGAATCCTGTCATTGTATGCATCTACCATTAAGTTTTATTGGTTAATTTTTCACTTCTATGAGAAAATAATGGAAAATTCCCCTCTGGCAAGGACGAATGACAACAGAAACTGATACCTTAGCACACCCTCAAACTGTCATCTGGCCTTTTTATTATTTAAAGATTGTCTCTCTAATATTCTCAACATTCACTGCACGAGGTCTTCAATATGTGGTCACTTCTATGTGAATGATTTGTCCTCCTGAACACGATACAGGACAGACCAGTGTTTGCAGGAGGGGAACTGTGTTGCAGTTTCAGTTGGCACAAGTGTTTTCAGGATGGTGCCCTCCAAGTTTTTCCACCACTGATAAAATCCCAATGTGGATTTCCTAATTTGACAGGAGCTGGCTGCTTATGCAAACATGCCAACCACAGTTACATTAACAGCAAAAGGTAAACTTTAACCTTTACCTTTCAGGGGATAAATAATGATCTCTGAAAATCAATGCCTAGAAAATTCTTTAAAGAATACTGCTCTGGTTGAAAGCCCAACAGCACTTAATTTTACAGCAGGGGATAAGAGATTCTCAGCTCTGCCAGAAGATTGCTGTCCAACACCCAGGAACAGAGAAATTACACAGACCTCAGTAAAAGAAATTGCATGATCCTTCTTCAGATGAAGGCAGGAGTGTGAAGAACCAGTTCATACAAATGCTTTGTTCTTGTGGCTCACAGGGAATTCTGCTCTGGCTCCAGCTCACAGCTGCTGAGTGCCGGCGCTTCAGGCTGGGTGAGGAACAAACACCTTGACCTGGGGCTTTGAGATTTCATTCAAAGATGCAGAAATGCAATTTGCAGTTTTTACTTGGGTGAGATGTTTTAATGAAGCAGATCACAAACCCCAAACTCGTGACTTTGTTACACCTTTGGCATTTATGATCACAGCAGGTTTGGACATGGTCCCACAGAAGGGCTGCAGAGCCCATCAGGTTTCTCTTTTTAGTGCTCACTTGGGTAACAACAAATAAACCCAGTGCCAGCAGACCTACACAGCTGTGAGCTTTTTATTTCACAGCACACCCACTTCCTCCTCTTGTCTGAGTTTCTGGAACACAGCAGAACCTAGTGCCAAGTTATGCATTCTCTGACTAGACTAGGTACAGTACATCTAGACTGATCTCACTTCCTCAAATACAGAGCTATAACTAAAGTAAAATTACTGTCCAAAATTAATGGTGAAAGATGGTCAACTGCTCATTAGCTTTACTCTTAATTAATTTTAGATGTGGTTCAAGATGGCTTGAACAAGAACACTCTCCACTCCTGCAGGGGTTCTGAGGGCGGTGCAAACAGAACACAAGCTACAGTCCTCAAATATTGGTATTGGGAGTGCTACAGATACAGCACAGGAAGGGTTCCCAACACTTAGAACCAGCACAGGCTCAGTTCAGACCTACTCCCTGCTCACAGCAAGGGAAACACAAGCAATTCCTTTCAGTTGTTGCAGCAAAAATCCATCTCCCACAGCCGTTCACAAAAGGGCAAAGAACTGCACCCTGGACAAGGGTGGTGGGACTCTGCCCCACAGGGGCCTCAGGACCCCACTCTGGTTTGGACTCTGGCTCTGGGCTACAGGAAGAGCACAGCAGTGCTGTGGTAGGGTAAACAAAATGCTGATTTCTGCAATGTGTTCAATCACAGCCCTTCTTGACTGCAGTTTACCATCAGCACAGGGCTGAGCTTTGCTTCGTGGAATCCCTGCAATTTAAAATAAAAACTATACACAATCTAGTGCATACTGATACTCCTTTATAAAAAGTAAAGGCTTTGTAGGACCCCACTTTCTTTTTGGATTTAAAATACATTTTCAGTATTTCAGTGTGATTCAAAAACACTCCAAACTTTCACTACAATGTAACTACACTGCTGCATTAAAATACCTTCACAGGAATTCTTTCCTAAGTTACTGAAGAATCACAATGACAATGTGCCATTAAAACAGCCACGTTCCTTACTCACACAGTTTGTCTTCTTTTGAGTAGTTCACACTGCAGGTTACACCACTGGCCTGGCAAATGACTTTACCTGGAAGATTAGCACAGAGCCACATTGAGATAAGTACATTTATCTGCCTCAGTCTTTAACAGTAAGAGCCATTCCTCCAGCATGGATAAAAGCCTTCGTTTTTCCAAGTCCTGGGCTACGGAATTCTTTAGGAGAAATCACCAAGGAAAGAAAATGGAAGCACTTCTCAAAATTTAAGACATTCAGCATTAATATGTCCTGTCTGTTATTTCAGTGGTTTCTTCCAGGAATGTTTCAGTACTTCGGGGTGAAGTTGTGTCCCCAGGTGTGACTTAGTTACATTTACCAAATTAATTCTTAAAGAGGAAAAGAACTGACAATTTGTCCTACAGATGAGACAACAGACAGAAGTTCAACTTAATTTTTAAAAAGTGTCTTATCACCCTTTATTTCCAGGTGCTTCACAGCGATATGACAAAATAAAGTATCACAATCGGTTTTATGTAAATAAAAAATTAATATCAACAAGTTCCAAATCTCCCTATATCGAATACAATCAATCATAAATAAAAAAACATGCATTAAAGCTATTTCTGTATTATAAAATACACATGACCCAGTTCTTTAAGACAATGAATTTTTCACAAATATATAAAAATTACTCTATATGTTCTTACTTTTATGTTACTGTATTATTGCATTTTGAAATAGACTTTAAGTGATACATTTGAGAGACATTTCAAAGTGTTTCACTATAAATTAATAAAACCATGTCTCGCAATGCAACTTTCCCCCCGTCTTAGGTTAAGTTTTCATTGTAACAGATTTGCCTATTGGGTCTGAAGTCTTAAGGAGATCAAGTCAGGCACATGTTTACACTGAAGACTCACAAGCCATGGCATCATGGAGATCTGAATTTGCTTTTTTAAAGCCATTGCATAGCACCTTTACTAGAAATTACTAATACAGACATGTGGCTACAGTTGCTTGCAGTTACCTGGAACAAGTCACCTGTAGAGTATTATATAGACCCTGGAGGCTCAGATGTCTGACCTGAAAGCACAGAACACACCACACAGAGTACAAAACCTTCCACACTTTTGTCCCACTTTCTCTGGCTGCACAGAGGGAACAGTTTTCTTCAGCTGGATGTGTTTCAGTCCTAAAACCCAAGCCTCTAATCTTAGCCCAGCTTTTCAGCTGTGGAGGGATATTAAACAAAAACTGTTGATACAAATGAAACAACCAGAAAATTACCCTGCCTTGTAGAGAAGGATGAGAAGGAGAAATCTCAGCTGATGAGAAAACTAAGAAGTGACACTAACATCATCTTTATCATGATGATAATGATGGTTTGGGTTGGAAGGGACCTTAGAGACCATCTTGTTCCATCCCTTGCCAGGGGCAGGGACACCTTCCACTAGACCAGGTTGTTGAGGGCCCCAAAGAACCTGGCCTTGGACACCTCCAGGGATGGGGCAGCCACCTGGGAAACCCCGGGCTGGAATAACCCCTGCTGGCTCACGGCTCTTACCCACCAAGAAATGACTCAGCACAGGCACACCATTCTGTGGGCTCTAGGACTGCATCCCTCATCCTGCTCATTCATCACAGGGGGCAGGAACAAGTTTAGGTTATGTCCCAGAAGATGTCTGTAAAACTTTGGAATGCTGATTTAACTCTGAGGTGTAGGTCTGTTACAGTTTTGTCCTGAGCAGTAATTTGAGACTGAAATACAGCTTTGTGTACCATGGCCATGCACAGCATGAACAACTTGCAGAATCAGGGGGTGTAACACAAGCTGTTTGCACAGAACACTTGAGTCTTGCCTGCCCAACCACCCAGGAGCCAAAGGACCTCATGCAGACCAGACACTGCATTAGTGTCACAAGGCTGGAATGGAAATGCCCTCAAAGTCTGGGAAGGCCCAAAGCAGCTTTTGGCACTTCTCTTTGCCTGGAAAGGGCAGACATGCTGGTTCCCTAACAGCTATCCAAGGTGGCTTCTCTCCCTGCTCCCAGGAGTCCTAGCTATATTATTACTATTACCCTTAGTCATAGTTTTTCACTATATCCCGAAAAATCTCACCACAGTAAACTCCTACAAAATCCAACCAAATCTGCATCCCCTTACCTTTCCAGCTGACTTGTGGTAGCACATCATCAAAGGGCAGTTAGAATTTAACAGAATCGAGGAGTAGAGGAGATGGGTTTTCCTTTATGTTTTTTAACCAGAACCTGATCACAGGGAGACACAATACAATTTCTGCCATCTGGTCTTGCACTTGAAAATGATAATTTCTCCACCATTTCCACTTCCTGCCTTATGTCTTCACCTGTTTCCCTGGAAATGGTATATGAAGCCCAGCCATCTAATTTTTCTACTCCTTTCTCTGTGATGAAACACTAAATGTGTCTTGTCCAGGAGCTCTCTGAAGACTGATTTAATATCCTCTGATTGCTGCATGAATTCCTGGGCCTTAAGAGATGATTAAAGAAACAAAACACATCAAATCCTAAGTCAGCTGTCCCAAGCAAGTTGAACTAATAGAATTCCTCTTCTTTAAACTTCACATTTACTGACTTCACCTTCCAGTGGACCCTGTGTAACAAAGTCTGACACTCTGCCTGAAATTTGGATTTTAAAATACCAATACTTATCTGTTTCTGAACCATCACAAAAGCTTTAGTACTTCTTTTGCTCATTCACCACTTGTGCCTTGTGCACATTCCATCCTTGCAGCATCTCCTCACAACTCCTGTTGGTTCCACAGGGACACTGGGAATTCTGTTGCCCTGTATGTCACCAGTCATTTGCCTTGGCATCAGCAGCCTTGGAAGAAGGAATCAGGTTGTAAAATCTCTTCTCATGGAGAACAGGAGCAAACATCCCTTCACATCCCAGTGTTGAGAACACATCCATATGAAGCAGCATTTCAGGTTTTAGCCTATCTGCTTGTATAGTTTGTTCTTGCTTCCACCTCTACTTTATAGCAAAGCCCATAACTTCATGAATTGGCAGAAAAAAGAATGAAGAGAAATGGAGGATGAACAGAACTAGAGCAATAAACACAATGATAAATGTAATGTTTGATAGTTTCATCATTAAGGAAACTTAACGAATTTCTAATCCAATTCTTATGGAAAAAGAACATCACAGAAATCCTCCCAAGGTCAATGGGTATTGCATACAAAGTTCTGGGGAGAAAAAGTTGGCTGTCTCTTACTTCTGCATTTTTAATATCTGTCAGCACTTAATACCTTGAAATTACAGGTTTCCAACATCCTAAAAGTTGCTAATGGATTTTATATAATCTCAGTATCACTTTTATGGATTGAGCAATTTACACACAGTTCTTCAAAGTATTAGAAGCAGGTGAAAAGTGATTCACGTCTATAAAGGATGTTTAGAGAT